GAACAACAACAACAACCTTCTTCAGTGTAAATGTGTTTACATATCCTTCCAATAATAATAGAGTAAAATAATAAATGTAATAATAACAATAATAAAGAATAATATAATAAATGTAATAATAATAATAGAGTAAAATGATTAATGTAATAATAACAGAGTAAAATAATAAATGTAATAATAATAATAAAGAATAAAATAATAAATGTAATAATAATAGAGTAAAATGATTAATGTAATAATAATAATAATAATAATAATAATAATAATACTTCAATATAAATGTGTTTACATATCCTTCCAATAATAATAGAGTAAAATAATAAATGTAATAATAATAATAAAGAATAAAATAATAAATGTAATAATAATAGAGTAAAATGATTAATGTAATAATAATAATAATAATAATAATAATAGAGTAAAATAATAAAAAACCTTGACTCGAGTATAAGCCGAGGGAGATTTTTCAGCCTAAAAAAAAGGACTGAAAAACTAGGCTTATACTTGAGTATATACAGTAATTAATAAAATAATTCCAAATAATAATAATTTTATTTCTTAACCACCTCTCCTCGTAGTTGACCGCAGCATTGTTAAAACACATGGTCATAAAAAATTACACAAAATACACATATTAAAATGTATTTCTATGCATACAATTTGAAATACTGAGCTGCTCCGTAGCCTTCCATGAAGGAGAGATGCTTTTATGGACTGGCTGGGCAATTCTAGGAAATGGGAGTCCAAAAGAAGCGACTTGTCTATTAAAACACTTTCCAAACCAGGAACAGGTTTTTGTTTTTCCAAATTTTGTTACATAGTGCAATAAAATAAAAGAAGCACACAATCTCAGGGTTGGAAACAGGAACCCCAAGGCCATCCAGACCCTTATGTCAGGCAGGAAGGCACCATTCAAGCCCTCCTGACAGATGGCCAGCCTGCTTAAAACGATATATAAATATTCGAATCAAGGGAGTGGCGTGAGCTCTGGTTGTTCACCCCAACTTCTGCCAACCTAGCAGTTTGAAAACATGCAAATGTAAGTAAATCAATAGGTACCGCTTCTGTGGGAAGGGAAGGTTGCTCCATGCAGTCATGCCAGAGGCCACATGACCCAGGAGGTGTCTATGGACAACGCTGGCTCTTCGGCTTAGAAATAGAGATGAGCACCATCCCGCAGAGTTAGACTCAACTAGTTAGACTCAGGGGGAAATCCTTACCTTTATATTGGGGATATAATATATCCCTAATATAATGTACCTGCTTGTGATCCCAACCAGATACACTGAAGACATCTGCCCTTGCGCTTTGCTACTCTGCTGCTGAGTACGCACGCCAAGTGCCACACACTACTGGAGAAATTATACTGCACCACCTGACATCCACTGGGAAGTAGTAGCCAGCAATGAAAGGACTAATATCTCCAGCCCATCCCCTGTTCGGATATCAGCCAGCACGCCAAAGCCTTAAATCTACAGAGATATTAGCAGGAACACCTCAGCAAGCAAGAGTCCAAAAGTGGCAGGCTCAAACCCGGAACTGGTATCAGCCATGGCTGATACCAGATGAGAGACTCCCTCCTGGACACACAAAAGACTAGATGACCTGGGAGACTGCGCTCTGGCACCATGAGATGCAGAGCCAACCTTAAGAAATGGCGCCACAAAGTGGGGTCCATGATATGCAAGTGTGAAGAAGAGCAAACCACAGACCAGTTATTACAATGCAGCCTGAGCCCTGTCACATGCGCGATGGGGGACCTTCTTGCAGCAACACCAGAGGCACTCCAAGTGGCCAGCTACTGGTCAAAGGACATTTAATAGAATGCCAAGTTTTTTAAACTTTGTGTTTTTTAAATACATTGCCTCAGTTCGCTTCTGATATGAGCAATAAAATTATATTTATTTATATACCCTGCTTTATCTCTCCGGCAGGAGACTCAAATCAGCTTAACATAAAAGCATCCACATACCATATTATCTACTAGCCGTACCCTGACACACGCGTTGCTGTGGCCCACTCTGGTGGTCATGGGGGTTCTGTGTGGGAGGTTTGGCTCAATTCTATGGTTGGTGTGGTTCAGAATGCTCTGTGATTGTAGGTGAACTGCAAATCCCAGCAACTACAACTCCCAAATGTCAAGATTCTATTTTCCCCAAACTCCACCAGCGTTCACATTTCGGCATATTGAGTATTCGTGTAGAGTTTGGTCCAGATCCATCATTGGCTTTGAGCCACAGTGATCTCCGGATGTAGGTGAACTACAACTCCAAAACCAAAGGACACTGCCCACCAAACCCTTCCAGTATTTTCTGTTGGTCATGGGAGAACTGTGTGCCAAGTTTGGTTCAATTCCATCGTTGGTGGGGTTCAGAATGCTCTTTGATTGTAGATGAACTATAAATCCCAGCAACTACAACTCCCAAATGACAAAATCAATTTTTTTGAGTGAAGGACATACATTGGGTTGTTAGGTGTCTTGTGTCCAAATTTGGTGTCAATTCATCCAGTGGTTTTGAGTTCTGTTAATCCCACAAATGAACATTACATCCCTGGACGGAGATGGAAGGCAGCAGCAAATAATAATAATAATCATCATCATCATCTATATAAATAAAAATGTAATGTTCGTTTCTGGGATTAACAGAACTCAAAAACCACTGGGGGAATTGACACCAAATTTGAACAACCCAATGTATGTCCCTCACTCAAAAAAAATTGATTTTGTCATTTGGGAGTTGTAGTTGCTGGGATTTATAGTTCACATACAATCAAAGAGCATTCTGAACCCCACCAACGATGGAATTGAACCAAACTTGGCACACAGAACTCCCATGACCAACAGAACATACTGGAAGGGTTTGGTGGGCAGTGTCCTTTGATTTTGGAATTGTAGTTCACCTACATCCAGAGATCACTGTGGACTCAAACAATGATGGATCTGGACCAAACTCTACACGAATACTCAATATGCCCAAATGTGAACACTGGTGGAGTTTGGGAAAAGAATCTTGACATTTGGGAGTTGTAGTTGCTGGGATTTATAGTTCACCTAAAATCAAAGAACATTCTGAACCCCACCAACGATGGAATTGGAATAATAAAAACACTGAAAAACACAGAGGAAGGGACTTAAAAAGCCAAAAAATAAAAATGCATTACAGTGCATGTGCAAAACCACATATATACAGAAACACACACACACATATATATATACACAAATATATATACACACAAAGCACATATATACAGACTGGGCCACAGCAATGCGTGGCTAGTTATATAATAATAATAATAATAATAATAATAATAATAATAATATAATAAATTATTATAAGAGTGGAGCCCCCGGTGGCGCAGTGGGTTAAAGCACTGAGCTGCTAAACTTGTTGACCGAAAGGTCGCAGGTCCGAATCCGGGGAGCGGCGTGAGCTTCCGCTGTCAGCCCCAGCTTCTGCCAACCTAGCAGTTTGAAAATCATAGAATCATAGAATCAAAGAGTTGGAAGAGACCTCATGGGCCATCCAGTCCAACCCCCTGCCAAGAAGCAGGAATATTGCATGCAAATCACCCCTGACAGATGGCCATCCAGCCTCTGTTTAAAAGCTTCCAAAGAAGGAGCCTCCACCACACTCCGGGGCAGAGAGTTCCACTGCTGAACGGCTCTCACAGTCAGGAAGTTCTTCCTCATGTTCAGATGGAATCTCCTCTCTTGTAGTTTGAAGCCATTGTTCCGTGTCCTAGTCTCCAAGGAAGCAGAAAACAAGCTTGCTCCCTCCTCCCTGTGGCTTCCTCTCACATATTTATACATGGCTATCATATCTCCTCTCAGCCTTCTCGTCTTCAGGCTAAACATGCCCAGCTCCTTAAGCCGCTCCTCATAGGGCTTGTTCTCCAGACCCTTGATCATTTTAGTCGCCCTCCTCTGGACACATTCCAGCTTGTCAATATCTCTCTTGAATTGTGGTGCCCAGAATTGGACACAATATTCCAGGTGTGGTCTAACCAAAGCAGAATAGAGGGGTAGCATTACTTCCTTAGATCTAGACACTATGCTCCTATTGATGCAGGCCAAAATCCCATTGGCTTTTTTTGCCGCCACATCACATTGTTGGCTCATGTTTAACTTGTTGTCCACGAGGAGTCCAAGATCTTTTTCACACGTACTGCTCTCGAGCCAGGCGTCACCCATTCTGTATCTTTGCATTTCATTTTTTCTGCCAAAGTGGAGTATCTTGCATTTGTCACTGTTGAACTTCATTTTGTTAGTTTTGGCCCATTATCTCTCTAATCATGCAAACATGCAAATGTGAGTAGATCAATAGGTACCGCTCCGGTGGGAAGGTAACAGCGCTCCATGCAGTCATGCTGGCCACATGACCTTGGAGGTGTCTACGGACAACGCTGGCTCTTTGGCTTAGAAATGGAGATGAGCACCACACCCCAGAGTCAGACATGACTGGACTTAAGGTCAGGGGACTACCTTTACCTTTACCTATAATTATAAGGTACAATCTTTATATATAAAATATAATATCATTATTATGTATTAATAATGTATATGTAATAATAATGTATTATGATTATGTAATAATAATGTAATAAAATACAAATAGACAAACATTAAAACAGGATTCAAAAAATTCCCAGTTGAAAGCCATTGAAACAAGCATAGACCAGGCCTGGGCCAACTTGGGCCCTCCAGGAGTTTTGGACTACAATTCCCACAATTCCTCAAGCATAGACCAGGCTTGGGCCTGGGCCAACTTAGGCCCTTCCAGGTGTTTTGGACTACAACTCCCACAATTCCTCACAGCCTCAGGCCCCTTCCTTTTCCCCCTCAGCCGCTTAAGCGGCTCAGAGGAAAGGAAAGGCCTGAGGCTGTGAGGAATTGTGGGAGTTGTAGTCCAAGACACCTGGAAGGGCCTAAGTTGGCCCAGGCCTAATCTAGTTGGCCCAGGCCTAATCTCTTTGGCCCAGGCCTCCTCTGCTTCACTCACCGGGGCCTCGCCGCTGGCCATGGCGAGGCGGAGGTTCTTCCTCAGCTCCAGGACGCCGGTGCCATTGAGAGGACAAGCTGCTCCAGCAGGCCCCGCCCCTCGCCCGCGGCGTCACTTCCTGCACAGGCCCCGCCCACCTCCAGTACAAAGCTCCGCCCACTGGGTTCCTAAGCCACGCCCCCTTGAGGACACAGGTTCCTGCTGCACAAACAAAAGTTTTGGAAGTTTTTCATAGACTCTTCCCATTTTTTAAAATTATGACATTTGATCTGGCCACAGTGGTCAATATCTTAGTTGCATCTCGAATGGATTACTGCAATGCACTCTCTGTGGGGCTGCCTCTGAAAACAGCTCAGATATTGCAATTAGTACAATTAGCACTTTTTTCTTTTCTTCTTTTCCCATATCTGTTTATTATTATAAATTATACTAATAATAAACTTAATAATAAAATTATAGATTCTCTTCTGTTATAGAACTCCAGTATGCTGATGATAACGTCGTCTGTGCGCATTCAGAAGAAGATCTTGTTACATCCCGAATAGATTACTGCAACGCACTCTACGTGGGGTTGCCTTTGAAGACTGTTTGGAAACTTCAATTAGTCCAGCGGGCAGCAGCCAGATTAGTCACCGGAGCGTCATACAGGGAGCATACCACCCCTCTGTTGTGTCAGCTCCACTGGCTGCCGATCCAGTTCCGAGCACAATTCAAAGTATTGTCAAAGGCTTTCATGGCCGGAATCACTGGGTTGTTGTAGGTTTTTCTGGGCTATATGGCCATGTTCTAGAGGCATTTTCTCCTGACGTTTCGCCTGCATCTATGGCAAAGACCTCACTACCTCTGAGGATGCTTGCCATAGATGCAGGCGAAACGTCAGGAGAAAAATTGCCTCCAGAATATGGCCATATAGCCCGGAAAGACCTACAACAACCCACAATTCAAAGTGCTGGATCTGACCTACAAAACCCTATACCAGTGGTTCTCAACCTGGGGTCCCCAGATGTTTTTGGCCTACAATTCCCAGAAATCCTAACAGCTGGTAAACTGGTTGGGATTTCTGGGAGTTGTAGGCCAAAACACCTGGGGACCCACAGGTTGAGAACCACTGCCCTATACGACTCCGGCCCAGCATTATCTGTCCGAATGCATCTCCTTCTACGTCCCGCCTCGGAGTTGAAGATCTTCTGGGGAGGCCCTGCTCTCAGCCCCACCTCTATCACAAGGATAGAGGTGGGGACGAGGAGCAGGGCCTTCTCGGTGGTGGCCTTTCGCCTGTGGAATTCACTCCCCGGGGAAATTAGGTCATCGACATCCCTCCTCTCTTTTAGAAGGAAATTAAAAACATGGATATGGGACCAGGCTTTTGGGTAATCTGGCAGATAGACAAAGGACAATCGACGACTAGAATTGATGGATTTGACAATGTGGAATGAATTTACGGACTCTGAGCTGGCAAACGTTGAGCACTAGATTGGTTTTTATGGATTATATTGTATAATGGATTGTTTTAATTATTTTAATTACTGTTTATATATGTTTTATTTTTATCCTATTGTTGTGTTGGCATCGAATTGTGCCTTTTGTAAGCCGCCCTGAGTCCCCCCTCGGGGGTTGAGAAGGGCAGGGTAGAAGTGTGATAAATAAATAAGTAAATAAATAAAACCTACAAGCCACTCTAAACACCTTTGCAGAAGCATACGAGAAGCTCGGCCTGTCATTGAACATCGAGAAAACTAAAGTGCTCTTCCAGCAGTCACCGGCCAATCCCTCTCCAATGCCAGAGATACAGCTTAATGGTGTAACATTAGAAAATGTGGACCATTTCCACTCCCTTGGCAGCCACCTCTCCCCCAAAGTCAACATCGACACCGAAATACAACACCGCCTGAGCTCTGCAAGTGCAGCATTTTTCTGAATGAAGCAGAGAGTGTTTGAGGACTGGGACATCCGTAGGGAGAACAAGGGGCTTGTTTATAAAGCTATTGTCCTCCCAACCCTGCTATACGCCTGCGAAACATGGACTCTCTACAGACGTCAACATTGGCACTGAAATACAATACCACCTGAGCTCTCCCAAGTGCAGCTTTTTTCCCAATGAAGCAGAGAGTGTTTGACGACCAGGACATCCATAGGGAGACCAAGGTGCTTGTTTATAAAGTTATTGTCCTCCAACCCTGTTATATGCCTGTGAAACGTGGACTGTCTACAGACATCACATGCAACTCCTGGAACGATTCCATCAGCGCTGCCTCCGGAAAATCCTGCAAATCTCTTGGGAAGACAGCGGACAAACGTCAGCGTGCTGGAAGAAGCAAAGACCACCAGCATTGAAGCGATGGTCCTCCGCCATCAACTCCGCTGGACCGGCCACATTCTCCGAGACCACTGTCTCCCAAAGCAGTTGCTCTACTCCGAACTCAAGAACGGAAAACAGAATGTTGGTGGACAGGAAAAGAGATTGAAAGACGGGCTCAAAGCCAGCCTTAACAACTCTGGCACAGACACTGAGATCTGGGAAGCCCTGGCCCTTGAGTGCTCCAACTGGAGGTCAGCTGTGACCAGCAGTGCTGCAGAATTTGAAGACGCAGAAATGGAGGGCGAAAGGTAGAAACGTGCCAGGAGGAAGGCGCTTCAAGCCAACCCCATCCGAGACCGCCTCCCACCTGGAAACCAATGCCCTCACTGTGGGAGAAGATGCAGAGCAAGAATAGGGCTCCACAGCCATCTACGGACCCACCGCCAGGACACTGAACTTGGAGGACCATCATCCTCAGACTACGAGGGATCGCCTAAGTAGGTAAAGTAAGTATAATAATTGGTTCTGCAATAACTCAGTCCTCTGGGACTAAATATTGATTCTCCCAGTTTGTGGGCCCTTCCACACAGCCATATAACCCAGAATACCAAGGCAGATAATCCACAATATCTCTTTGAACTGGGTTATCTGAGTCCACACTGCCATACAATCCAGTTTAATGTGGATTTTATACAGCTGTTTGGAAGGGGCCTGTGTCTTTTTGAGGGGGAAAGGTGTTTGGCTATGGGTCAACATCATTTACTGAGAGCCTGGTGAAAGGGCCAGTAGTGAAAGGGCCAAGGCGGTGACATCTCCAGCTCATCCCCTCTTTGGGTATCAGCCAGCATGTCAATGACTTAAATCAAGAAATAGTTTTCTAAAATCTACAGAGACACTCGCTGGAACACCTCAGCAAGCGAGAGTCCAAAAGTGGCAGGCTCAAACCCAGAACCTCAATCTATGGGTGAAACCCAATGAGAGACTCCCCCCTGGGCACACAGAAGACTGGGTGACTTGGAAGGCGCTGAACAGACTGCGCTCTGGCACCACAAGATGCAGAGCCAACCTCAAGAAATGGGGCCACAAAGTGGAATCCACGACCTGCGAGTGCGGAGAAGAGCAAACCACTGACCACCTGCTGCAATGCAACCTGAGCCCTGCCACATGCACCATGGAGGACCTTCTTGCAGCAACACCAGAGGCACTCCAAGGGGCCAGAGACTAGTCAAAGGACATTTAATCAACTACCAAACTCACAAATTTTGTATTTTGCCTGGTTTTTTTTGCTTTGTTCTGTTAGAAATTTAATATAATCGACTGGTTGCACTGACACGATAAATAAATACTGAGAGTCTGGGCGTTTGTAGGTTTGCAGACCAATTCCTCCCAATGGCAAGACAATACGGGCAAATGAAAGACGACACAGACACTGTTTGAGTTGTGTTATATCCCTGAAGCTATGCTTTATGTCGCACCAGGAAGGGCTCGGAGTGGGGATATTTACAACTTGGATCCCTGCGGACGATCCCCTTCTGCTCCCAGGTCCATTCTGACTCCTCTAACCTGCCTCAGAAGGGTTGAGGCCCATCCTATTCAGAGATGAGCTCTAAGGCTTGAAGGCAGTCTTGTAGCTTTGCAGATGAACCAAGATGAAGGGGTTTAGAGCAGGCTTGGGCCAACTTCGCCCCTCCGGGTGTTTTGGACTCCAACTCCCACAATTCCTAACAGCCTACCTGCTGTTAGGAATTGTGGAAGTTGGAGTCCAAAACACCCTGGAGGGCCGAAGTTTGCCCAAGCCTGCTCTAAACCCCTTCAGAGATGCAATCAAGTAATGAGGAAGGGAAGAGGATTCCTGCCCAGGCCGTCTTCGAGTTCATGCACACCTGGGATTCCAGGCCAAGGGCCAGATCCACCTCTGGATCAGATTCCAATCCCCGCTTAGTTCATGGCACAGCCAGAGTCTTCGGGAAAAGGGCAGCTAGGTGCTCCTCTTGGTGTGGATCAGGAGGTCCCGCTGCAAGCCTGCGTCGAGAGCCATGGCTGACTTCCCCGGCGGGAGGTCCGTCAGGAGGGTCAGCTTGTTGAAGACGCCCCGGCCAAAGTAGTCGGCCACCACCGAGAAGCTGTCGTTGGAGCACTTCAGCTGGAGGAGGAAGAGGCAAGGGACAAAAAAGAGGGTTTCAAGAGGGAACATTTTGGAAAGGCATGACCTTGTTAGACATCATAACCTTTTGGAAAAATATATCATAGAATCACAGAGTTGGAAGAGACCTCATGGGCCATCCAGTCCACCCCCATTCTGCCAAGAAGCAGGAATATTGCATTCAAATCACCCCTGACAGATGGCCATCCAGCCTCTGTTTAAAAGCTTCCAAAGAAGGAGCCTCCACCACACTCTGGGGCAGAGAGTTCCACTGCTGAACGACTCTCAAGAAGAATCATAGAATCATAGAATCCTAGAGTTGGAAGAGACCTCATGGGCCATCCAGTCCAACCCCTCTGCCAAGAAGCAGGAATATTGCATTCAAATCACCCCTGACAGATGGCCATCCAGCCTCTGTTTCAAAGCTTCCAAAGACGGAGCCTCCACCACACTCCGGGGCAGAGAGTTCCATTGTTGAACAGCTCTCACAGTCATAGAATCATAGAATCCTAGAGTTGGAAGAGACCTCCTGGGCCATCACCCAGTCCAACCCCATTCTGCCAAGAAGCAGGAATATTGCATTCAAAGCACCCCTGACAGATGGCCATCCAGCCTCTGTTTAAAAGCTTCCAAAGAAGGAGCCTCCACCACACTCCGGGGCAGAGAGTTCCACTGCTGAACGGCTCTCACAGTCAGGAAGTTCTTCCTCATGATCAGATGGAATCTCCTCTCTTGTAGTTTGAAGTCATGACTCCATTGCGTCCTAGTCTCCAGGGAAGCAGAAAACAAGCTTGCTCCCTCCTCCTCCTCCCTGTGGCTTCCTCTCACATATTTATACATGGCCATTATCATATCTCCTCTCAGCCTTCTCTTCTTCAGGGTAAACATGCCCAGCACCTTAAACCGCTCCTCATAGGACTTGTTCTCCAGACCCTTGATCATTTTAGTCGCCCTCCTCTGGACACATTCCAGCTTGTCAATATCCCTCTTGAATTGTGGTGCCCAGAATTGGACACAATATTCCAGGTGTGGTCTAACCAAGGCAGAATGGAGCATGGGGAGCATGACTTCTCTGGATCTAGGCACTAGGCTCCTCTTGATGCAGGCCAACATCCCATTGGCTTTTTTTGCCGCCACATCACATTCCTGGGTCATGTTTAACTTGTTGTCCACGAGGGCTGGCTTGACAGCAGTACGTGTGGAAAAGATCTTGGGGTCCTCATGGACAACAAGTTAAACATGAGCCAGGAATGTGAGGAGTGGCTTCCTCTCACGTATTTATACATGGCTATCATATCACGCGGCTGGCGGAGACGAGAGACAGGGCCTTCTCGGTGGTGGCCCCTCGGCTGTGGAACGCCCTTCCCACGGACATCAGATTGGCCCCCTCATTGATGGTATTCCGGAGAAGAGTGAAGACTTGGTTATTCGAACAGGCGTTTGAATAAAAAGTGCAATGAATTTCAGGAAATGGAACTACGACTGACGAGTTTGGATCATGATTCTAGTTATGAGACGCCAATTGACCAACTTCTATGATTGTTAATTGCTTAACATGCTTTTGTGTTAATTGTTTTTAAGTACCTGTTGATACCGCATTGAATTTTCGCCTTGATTGTTCGCCTTGTTTTTGCTTGATTGTTGTAAACCGCCATGAGTCGCCTTAGGGCTGAGAATGGCGGTATACCAGTGAAGTAAATAAATAAATAAATAAATAAATAATATCTCCTCTCAGTCTCAGTTCTGATCACATGGTGCTGGGCATGTTTACCCTGAAGAAGAGAAGGCTGAGAGGAGATATGATAATGGCCATGTATAAATATTGGAGAGGAAGCCACAGGGAGGAGGAGGAGGGAGCAAGCTTGTTTTCTGCTTCCCTGGAGACTAGGACGCAATGGAGTCATGACTTCAAACTACAAGAGAGGAGATTCCATCTGAACATGAGGAAGAACTTCCTGACTGTGAGAGCCGTTCAGTAGTGGAACTCTCTGCCCCGGAGTGTGGTGGAGGCTCCTTCTTTGGAAGCTTTTAAGCAGAGGCTGGATGGCCATCTGTCAGGGGTGCTTTGAATGCAATATTCCTGCTTCTTGGCAGAATGGGGTTGGACTGGATGGCCCATGAGGTCTCTTCCAACTCAGTGATTCTATGATTCTATGACTGTGAGAGCTGTTCAACAATGGAACTCTCTGCCCCGGAGTGTGGTGGAGGCTCCGTCTTTGGAAGCTTTGAAACAGAGGCTGGATGGCCATCTGTCAGGGGTGATTTGAATGCAATATTCCTGCTTCTTGGCAGAATGGGGTTGGACTGGATGATGGCCCAGGAGATCTCTTCCAACTCTAGGATTCTATATTTTTCCAAAAGGTTATGATGTCTAACTGCATACCAAGACACACACATACAACACAGTAAGCAACCTGAGTTATATACATAATAAATAACTAGTATTGGAGGCATGTAGAAGGTTGATATTTCCAACAAAAAGAGGGTTTTCTGCTCGCCCCAAAAGCCAGGCACGACGCCCACCTGGTGCTGGAAGTGGTCGTGCAGGTCCCGTCTCTGCTCCTGGGCGCGGATCATGTCCATGACTTTGCGGTTCTCCGGGAGGCAGGTGGGGCACTCGGAGCCGCTCTCGGAGTAGCTCTCGAAGCAGTGCTGGTGGAAGGAGTGGCCGCATAGGAAGTGCACCGAGGGCAGCTCCAGCGCGCTGGTGCAGATGCTGCACTTGGTCTTCTGGAAGATCTTGGGGCTGCGGGAAGGAAGGAAGGAGAATGGGGAATGCATAGGCAGGGCCAAAACAGCGGCTCCAGAAGCCTCTGAGTATCAAGCCGAGGCCACAAGGCCCCCATCCCTCCTCAAATGTGGGACGAAGCAGCACTTAGAAAGAGCATGGCTTCTTCAAGTGTGGGTCCCGATCCCAAATGGGGTTTCTGTCACTCAAATGAAAAAAATGACAACAGGAAAAGATTCTGAACACCATCCCTTAGCAACAATGTGCAGGGTTTACAGCAGACTCTGCAGAATATCCTCAGTTGTAATCCCAAAAAAGAGGAAAATCAACCTGTTTAGCAAGCCTTGCAAATGCTGACTTATTTTCAGTACATGTCTGGTTTTTATACCCACTAGCCATCCCCTGCCAAGTGTTCCTGTGGCCCACATGGGGATTCTGTGTGGGAGGTTTGGCCCAATTCTATCGTTGGTGGGGTTCAGAATGCTCTGTGATTGTAGGTGAACTATAAATCCTAGCAACTACAACTCCCAAATGTCAGGATTCTATTTTCCCCAAACTCCACCAGTGTTCACATTTGGGCATATTGAGTATCCGTGCCGGATTTGGTCCAGATCCATCATTGTTTGAGTCCACAGTGATCTCTGGATGTAGGTGAACTACAACTCCCAAGCTCAAAGTCAATGCCCATCAAACACTTCCAGTCATGGGAGTCCTGTGGGCCACGTTTGGTTCAATTCCATCATTGATGGAGTTCAGAATGCTCTTTGATTGTAGGTGAACTATAAATCCCAGCAACTACAACTCCCAAAAGACAAAATCAATTTTTTTTAGTTAAGGACATACATTGGGTTGTTAGGTGTATTGTGTCCAAACTTGGTGTCAATTCGTCCAGTGGTTTTTGAGTTCTGTTAATCCCACAAACGAACATTACATTTTAATTTATATAGATTAGTTCTACCTCGATACCTGGGGTCACATAAAAAAAATTTGGGACAAAAAGGTGGAAAAATGGGAAAAAAATATTCTGAATGGAAAAGTTGAAGAAGCCCTGCTCTAAAGCACAGTCCTGCTGGACTCTCTTTCCAGACCAAACTCATTTGCAAGGCTGCAATGCTACAAAAAATGGGGCCATGGTTGAAGGAGAGGAAGTTGGCACAAACCCCACTGGACACGCAGGACAAAGACCATCCCAGCAAAAATGCCGAAGCCTACCTGTTTTTCAATTCCTCGATCTCCTTGCGGATCCGCTTGGTCTCCTCCCGGTACTTGTGGATCCTTTGCTCATCCTGCTCAATCTGGCGACTCTGCCTCTGGAGCTTGCTGACCAGGTAGTCCTTGATGACCGACAGGGTGGCCGTGGAGTTGTGGGCCAGAGTCTGCACCACTGGAAGAGGAGGAGGAGGAGGAAGCCCATCAGAGCCGAAAAGGCAGTTTGGAACTGCTGCAGAGTACTTGAAACAAGGCTCGAGGCTGTCCCCAAGTTACAATCATATGACTTGCAAAGAACTCTTAGTTAAGGATGGGGTTTAAACAAGAGAAAGTGAGAGGAATCTACCCCTTAGAAAGAAATTTTACTCCTGGAAAGAGTTATCCTGGGGAAAAGTGTCTCCACTGAAGCTTTATTTCCAATCCTTGTTTCCACAAGCCAAACTTTTCAAAATCCAATTATCACAGGGACAGAAAGGGAGGGAAAATCTTCCAAACAGGGACACAGGCAGCAACAGAAACACCACAGGGGTGTTCACCCTTCCCCGTGTGATCCAAAGTTAAAAATATATCTATTTGGCTGGACTTAAACTGAAAAAAAAATCTGTTTTGATGTACATACAAATTCAACTTAAGAACAAACCTTTTGTCCCTAACCTGGGGACTGTCTGTGTTTCAAACTAACTGAAACTATCTAAAACAGTGGTTCTCAACTTGTGGGTCCCCAGGTGTTTTGGCCTACAACTCGCAGTTTACAAGCTATTAGGATTCCTGGGAGTTGAAGGCCAAAACAACCGGAGACCCACAGGTTGAGAACCACTGATCTAAAAAGTGATTGACGTGATTATAATCACATTTTCACTATATGTCTTTGATAATTGTTTCTCAATGGAGTGGGTGGGGGAAACGGGTTTAAATAGATGCATGTAACAGTATAGGTGAAAGAGAAGGAAATTAAATCAATAATTAATATTGATTTAGGATTGTCTGCGCGCCCTCATCCTTCCTTGAAAATCCTATCCTAGTTTACCCTACCTTGTTCATGCCCAGCATTTTAAATTTTAATTATTACATTTGGCCCGGCCATAGGTTTTTAAATGCTATATGTTATTGTTTATTGCTTATTGTGTATTTTTTGTTTTTGGGTTTTTATTTTAACTGTTTGTATTTATTATTTGTTATTGCCTTTGTTTATGATGTGCTGTGGGCTTGGCCTCATGTAAGCCGCACCGAGTCCCTTGGGGAGATGGTAGCGGGGTACAAATAAAGTTATTATTATTGTTGTTGTTGTTGTCAGTTGTATGATGATACTTATATTGTTAAATATATATTGATTCAAAAGAAGAAATTGTTTAAATAACATAAATCATAGAACATGCTAAACGAGTTAATCAGCCTCTATTGAAACTGCTGGCGACTGTCTCCCACTATGCTATAGAGAGTGTCCTCACCTACTGCATCTGCACAGTGGCAGTTAGGAAAGTGCTCCAAAGGGTTACCACTTCTGCACAGCAAATCACTAGCTGCCCTCTTTCTCCCCTCTTCGGAAGAACTTTATAATTCCTGCTACCTTAAGAAAGCTTTGGGCATTCTTGGGGATCGATCTCGCCTGGCATATTATTCTTTTATTGAATGATTGCCACCTGGCAGATGGTACAGGGTGACAAAGGCAAGGACAGACAGACTGAAGGGTAGCTTGCATCCTAGAGCTGTGGCTATGTTGAACTCCATGGCTGCGCACTGATGTGGCATTGGAGGCTGTGCAGTGGTGGTGGGAGTGTGAAGAGATGGGTGTGTTGTTTTGTGATGCGTAAGGGGGAAGGCATGTAATTTCATTGTGCAATAACACAATGACAACTAAAGCTATTCTGTATTACTATCCAGCCAGGTTTTTTTCTGGGAGCTTCTGAGAGGAAGGCAGCCCTCGCTGTCTATACTTTCTTATTCACCTTATTCTCTCCCCCTCAAACTGCATACCACTAATGCCACAAAGTTGTGCCACGACAAACATGTTCGCCTTGAAGGGACACTCAAGTGTCCTCTTGCAGGAAAGGCAGCATTCCTCGCCCTGCCCCCTTCCGCTATGGTGCTCCGCTGTCCCCAAAAGTCTCTCACCCAGCAGAGGCGGCATCAGGTTCTTGGTCTCGATGTGCTTGAGCACGGCCGCGATGTACTCCTTGCAGTCCTCCTCCTTGTGGGCGAAGTAGCCCAACGCCTGCTCCCACAGGCAGGCCTCCTGGTCCCCGTACTGCTCGCACACCTCCACCACCTTCCGGTACTGCTCATTCTGCATGTGGTAGTGCATGATCTGCTGGAAGCTGGGGAGCAAAGAGCAAGAGCGGCAGCCCAGGTGAGCCGGCAACGCTCTCGATTGCCAGGAACCTCCAGATCAAAAGCTAGGGTGCTTTACTTGGAACCAATCATAGTTCACAGACTTGTAAAGAAACATAAAGGCTATCTAGACCAGGCATGGGCAAACTTTGGCCCTCCAGATGTTTTGGACTTCAAGTGTTAGGAATTGTGGGAGTGGAAGTCCAAAAAACCGGGAGGGAGAGTCAAAGTTTGACCATGCCGAGTCTGGACCAACTCTCTTCTGCCATGGAAAAAAATATTTTCTGTGTTTAGTTGTGATTTTATATTGTTTGATGTGCTTTTTATATTGTGTTTTGTATTTTATTTTTATTTTATTGTCGTATGTTTTGTAGGGCTTGGCCTCATGTAAGCTGCCCTGAGTCCCCTTGGGGAGATGGTGGCGGGGTATAAATAACGTTTTATTATTACCATATATACTCGAGTATAAACCGACCTGAATATAAGCCGAGAACCTAATTTTACCACAAAAAACTGGGAAAATGTATTGATTTGAATATAAGCCAAGGGTGGGAAATGAAGCAGCTACTGGTAAATTTCAAAATAAACATATATACCAATAAAATTATATTAATTGAGGCATCAGTAGGTTAACTGTTTGTAAATATTTACATAAAACTGTAATTTAAGATAAGAATGTCCAACTCTGATTAAACCATTATTCTAACCTTCTTCAATGTAAATGTGTTTATGTATCCTTCTGATAATAATAGAGTAAAATAATAATAACAATAATAACAATAATAATAATAATAATAATAGTAATAATAATAATAATAATAAAGTAAAATAATAAATGTAATAATATCAGAGTAAAATAATACATGTAATAATAATAATAAATAGAGTAAAATAATACATGTAATAATAATAATAATATCAGAGAAAATAATAAATAACCTTGACCCGAGTATAAGCCGAGAGGGACTTTTTCAGCCTAAAAAAAGGGGCTGAAAAACTATACTTATACTCGAGTATATACAGTATTTATTATTATTAAAAATAGACAGCTAAGGCAACCAGCCAGAGCTGCTATTGAAAAAAAGTAGGACAAGGCACAACTTTCCACCATCACAACCCTTTGGTCAAGAAACTGTCTCTCATACTTTAAGTGGAGCCTCTTTTCTTGAAAAATATTTTCTTAGTTTTGGACCTACTCATCAATCTCTCCAGATCATTTTGAATTTTGACCCTATCCTCATGGCTACTTGTATCCTCTGCAGGTCTGAGAAGCATGCCCTTTGCAGCAGCAGCAACATCCTAATTGTTTGCACTCAGACCTAAAGCAGCCCCCTCCCCATCCTGGGAACCTCTGGCGCCCCCCCCCCCCACCTCCTTCCCTCCCTTCTGCCGTCCCATCCGCACGCACAGCTTGCCCTGTTCGTAGAGGTAGAGGATGCCGTCCTTGAAGTTGTGCATCTGGCACAGGACCAAAGCCTTGTCGAAGACGCTCTGGAACTTCCCGCTCTTCAGCAAGGAAATGGCTTCGTTGTGGAGCTTCTCTTTAGCCTGCCAGGAAAAGACAGGACAGCATGAAGGACCAAAAGAGAGGGAGGCCCAAGGTGAAGGAGATGGCCTCTCTTGCTTCCTGCGGACACCCAATCGGATGACCCCACCTGCGGCTTTGTTGTCCTGGTTGAAGGGGAAAAGCCAGGCTATTCAGCACCCTGAACAAACCTACCTGCGGATATTCAGCACCGTGGATAGGACTCTGACCAAACCTACCTGCGGATCCTGCTCGTGGGCCCAGTTCTGGAGGCGCAGCTCCAGGAGGGTATCGTAGACGCCTTGTGGAGAGTTGGGCAGCACCTCCGACATGTGCTCCAGGAAGGCCTTGAGCTCCCGGGAGTTGTTGGCAAAGATGGGAATGAACTCGTCAGGATTGGCCTAGATCCCCAGAGAAGAAAGTCAGGCAGGGTCTGAAGCATCTACTGACCTATGGTCATGTGTTACAAGGGTTGAATGAAAAGTAATGCTTCTGCCTTCGTAACTCAACAGACTGCAGTACTGGTATACGGCAGGTACTGGCTTGTTCAGTAGACTCTCCTCTACAGTTCCATTTGGGTGGGAAGCCTTAGCATTGAACAGTTGTGTTGTTAAAGTGCAAAGTATGGAACCCCATGGAGACAGTTAGTCAATGTGACTTAAGCAACATATGTGGCAGGTACTGGCTTGTTAACATATGCAGCAGGTACTGGCTTGTTCATTAAACTCTCCTCTACAGTTCCATTTTGGCAGGAAGCCTTAGCATTGAACGGATGTGATGGGTTTTTTCCCAATTTGTACAAATAAAAGAAAGGGGGATATTGGGCAGGGGGAGGGGTGTGACGGCAGAGAAGGGATGAAGGTTTGCCTGCAACAGGAAAACATCCATGGGAAAGAGTGAAGGATAGGGGATGGGAGAGAAGGGGATAGGGAAGGTAGTGGGTGGGTATGGTCTAAACTTCCCATTCTACTTCACCACGTGATCCCTAAAAGCAGCTTAAAGCCAAGCAGGTAATGAACTTGGTTTCTTTTGGTTGTGTTGTTGAAGTGTGAAGTATGGAACCCTGGGCAGACGGACCGTCTATGCGACTTAAGCAACATGCAGTCATTGAATTCTTGACAGCAGAAGGTGTCACCTCAACATCTTTAAACTTACTCGCCAAACGATGCACATCAACACAGTCACCATAAAAAGCTTCTTGCATTATCTGATGAACCTCCTTTGAGGGTGACACCTTCTGCTGTCAAGAATTCAATGACTTCACATTGCTTAAGTTGCATTGACCAACCGTCTGCACAGAGTTCCATACTTTGTACTTTAACAACACAACCGTTCAATGCTAAGGCTTCCTCCCAAAATGGAACTATAGAGGAGAGTCTACTGAACAAGCCAGTACCTGCCGCATACGTTGCTGAAGTCGCATTGACCGACCATCTGTGCTGGGTTCCATACTTCACACTTTAACAACACAACCGTTTGATGCTAAGGCTTCCCGCCAAAATGGAACTGTAGAGGAGAGTCTACTGAACAAGCCAATACCTGCTGCATACCAGTACTGCCATCTGTTGAGTAGTTACGAAAGTGGAGGCATTACTTTTCATTCAACCCTCGTAACTTGGGTTTTCTTTTTCCCTGAGTGTTGTGGTGCCTTAATACCATCCCCAGGTCGTACCTACCTTCCGCCCTTCCATCCCTCCGGGGCCCTCCCGGTCTCCTGCCGGCCGGTAGTCGGTGCAGAGGACCTTGAGCAGCTCCGTGGTCTCGTGTGGGACGTGGTGCATGAGGATCTTGCCGTAGCGCTTCATGTTGCTCTCGGCCTGCTCAAAGGGCAGCCTGCCGATGTAGCGCAGGGCTTCCTGGTAGTTCTGCCAGGCAGAGAAGGAGGAGAAACCCTAATTCACTGCAAAACAGGCTGAGCAAACATCAGAAGACTCTGCCCCATTTCCAAGTACACTGAGAGCAGAACAAGATCTGCTTCCCTACTGAACAGTTAGGTACAGCACGCATAGGCAAACTTCAGCCCTCCGGGGTTTTGGGTTTCAACTCCCATCACTCCTAACAGCCTCAGGCCCCTTCCTTTTCCCCCTCAGCCGCTTAAGCTAGAGGCATAAGAAGGCCTCACCTTGATGTCCTCCAGCTGGATCTTGAGGTACCACTCGTGGTGTGCATGCTTCTCGGCCAGGTAGACCGCATGCGAGTAGCAGCCCGCCTGGCGCAGGACCTTGATGGCCGTCTCCACGTCAAAGTGCACCTCGCTCTCACTTGTCTGCATGAGAAAACATGTTGCATTAGGCCCTGAATTATGTATCCAGCCATGCAAGGGGAAGACTCTCTGCAAAGCAGGCCAACCAAGACTTATGCAGATGGACCCATGGCCTTCTTCTGCTTTGCATGGCTGTAGAAGGATGAGAACAAGACTCAAATCATATGGGGAAAGGAGAACATATCTGCCTTCCTGAGACAATGCTCCCGTTGGAAGATGGGGTGAAATATCTCTGCATTCCTTCCCTTGTGAGAGAGCCTACAGCACTTGGTACCCATTGGTGTCTCCCATCCAAATACTAAACAGGGTTGCCTTGCTTAATTCTCAAGAGCGAATGAGATATAATGTCTATATCTGCTCTAATATATTAGGTAGTAATGGTAAAGGTTTTCCCGACAGTAAAGCCCAGTCGTATCCGACTCACACTTTTGTAATCAAAAATACCCCACCAGCGCTTACTCTTAATTTTAAACTATTACATTTGGCCTGGCCATAGGTTTTTAAATCCTTGTGTGTTATTGTTTATATGTGATCTATATTAATTGTATTGTTTTTTGTTTATTGCTTTTCTGTTTTACTGATGTGTTGTTGGGCCTGGCTTCATGTAAGCCACTCTGGATCCCTTGGGGAGATGGTGGTGGGGTATAAATAAAGTATTGTTATTATTATTATGTACAGCAGGACATTTAATTAATTCTGCCCATAAATCAAAACTGTCACAGTGCAGCAACAAGGGGGGGGGGCGTCTCCCCGACCCACTGCGCTTTCGACCGCACCTTGATGAACTCCTCCAGCTTGGAGATGTCCTTCAGCTTGGTGTAGCAGTTCAGCAGGAGCGTGGTGTGGTCAGCGTTGGCCAGAGACTGGAGGTGCAGCGTCTGCAAGTAGGCCGTCAGGTTGTGGATCCGCTGAGCATCCAGGAACTTGCGGATCACATAGGAGGGCTCCAGCTTCCCAATGGTGCTGAGGAGGAAAGGCGCTGGTCAGGGCTCCCTTTAAAGCCACCCAAGGGTCCCCTCCTTAGAGTATGGGAGAAATACAGGAGATTCTTCTATGAAGAAACCCCCATGTGGGTGTCACCCGCTGAAGCGTTTCATAATAAAGAAATACCATGTGAGAAGTGGCACCCCTACTCAAAATTATTAAAGAAATGCAACAACGTCTGGGAGTTGAAACCTCTAGAAGATATAAGAGACTTTGACAGCAAAATGAGCTGGTTTCATTACTGGCAAACAAAAGAATGTTTCAAAGAGGATAGGAAAGTTGGGTTCAACTCCAAAGGATTCAAGCTGGGATAAAACAATGCAAAAAGAACAAAAACTAATTAAAACACTTTACCAGACCCTGCTAGAATGGGACTTGGAAACAGAGAGAATAAAAGAAAACGTGACGAAATGGGCCATAGATATAGGTCACCCAATATTACTCAAAGACTGGGAGAATGTTTGGAAGAAGAAGCTAAGATTTACGAAAGCCACAAATATTATAGAAGGATGGTACAAGATATATTTTCGCTGGTATCTGACACCCTTACAAATCTCAAAATTCAGTCAAAACTACAATAACAGATGTTGGAGATGCGAAAAGGAGCTGGGCACTCACTTTCATCTGTGGTGGGGATGTAAGTTAATCAAGAAGAATTGGATAACAATACATAAATACACACAAAAAATCCTTGGAGTGAAATTTGATCCAAAACCGGAATTTTATCTTTTGAACATTATAAACTGGAATTTAAGCGAAAACGAAGAGAAATTGTTTCTTTATATCTCAGCTGCAGCAAGAATGACAATTGCCCAAAGATGGAAAGAAAAAGACCCCCCACAAGTTGACGACTGGATAAATAAAATTTTAGAGTATATGAGTATTGACAATTTATCTTACTATAGAAGGGTTTGGTGGGCAGTGGCCTTGAGTTCGGGAGTTGTAGTTCACCTACATCCAAGGAACACTGTGGACTCAAAGAATGATGGATCTGGACCAAACTTGGCATGAATATTCCATATGCCCAAATGTGAACACAGATGGAGTTTGGGGGAAATAGGCTTTGAAAATTGGGAGTTGTATTTACTGGGATTTATAGTTCACCTACAATCAAAGAGCATTCTGAACCCCACGAACGACAGAATCTGGGCAAACTTCCCACACAGAACCCCCATGACCAACAGAAAATACTTAAGGCCATCCAGTCCAACTCCCTTCACCAGGGCAAGAAAACACAATCAAAGCCCTCCTGACAAAGCCATCCAGCCATAGATATAGATATGATTCACACACACACAGACATAGTATCATAGATTTGAAAGGGACCCCAAAGAAGGACAATTATATCTTGCATGTTCCAGAGTAGGCAAACTTGACACTCTCCACATCAACACTGGGAAAGAAACAGCAAGAAACACTGTTTACCCCACAAACATAAAGAAATTATATATATCAGAAATCAACACTTCCTCATTATTTTATTTTCCAGATCAACAGACTGGGCCACAGCAATGCCTGGCAGGGGACTGCTAGTAAATATATAAATAAATACAAATCACACATTCTGGTAGAATGTAATATTCTGAGATACCACCAACAAGGAACCACAGCCCTGCCTAAGCACTAAAGATTTGGCTTGTCTTTACCTCCCCATATATGGCAATAAGGAGAAGAAGTGCAAATCTGGACTGAAGTTTAACCATCGTAGCATACCAAAAAGAGCAAAAACACCATCCAAATGAACACTGTATTGTGTTCAATATTGTTAGATACTGTATAGTTGTTTCTTTGGGCAGTAGTCTGTTTCCTATAGGCAAGGGACAAGGCAAACAATCTAAAAGTATGAAGATGCTAGTCTTCGAAACCCAAGAAAACAGAGTGCAGAGTCCAGCTGTCCACCAGGCAGTGAGGCCTTGCTTGGGGTTTATTCTAAACACCCCTCCCCCACCCAAATTATGTTGTCATGCCTACCGGATGTACTGCTGAATGGCGCCATCGTGGTTGCCCTTGTTGTACAGATGGTCTCCGTACTGGCGGAAGATCTCAGACAAGCCATCGCTGTCCAGGTGGTGACTCCTGGCCAAGTTAATGGCCATTTCAAAGAGGTTCTTCTTGAAGAGCATCTGTTAGGAAAGAGGCAATGGCTTGTGATAAGGTTAACATAAAGGATCCAGTCTCCCTGGACCACCAACACTGTCACTCCTTTCCACCCGCTTTCCTTTCCACCCGCTACTAAGGAGGCTGTCGAGGTCCTGAACCGGTGCTTGGCCGCTGTGACGGTCTGGATGGGGGCGAACAAATTGAAATTGAATCCAGACAAGACAGAGGTACTCCTGGTCAGTCGCAAGGCCGAACAGGGTATAGGGTTACAGCCTGTGTTAGACGGGGTCGCACTCCCCCTGAAGACGCAGGTTCGCAGTTTGGGTGTGATCCTGGATTCATCGCTGAGCCTGGACCCCAGGTTTCGGCGGTGACCAGGGGAGCATTCGCACAGTTAAAACTTGTGCGCCAACTGCGACCGTACCTTGGGAAGTCTGACTTAGCCACGGTAGTCCACGCTCTGGTTACATCCCGCCTTGCTTACTGCAACGCTCTCTACGTGGGGTTGCCTTTGAAGACAGCCCGGAAGCTCCAACTAGTCCAACGGGCGGCAGCCATGGTACTAACAGGAGCGGGGCGCAGGGAGCACACAACTCTTCTGCTGCACCAGCTCCACTGGCTGCCGATATGCTACCGGGCTCAATTCAAAGTGCTGGCGTTGGCCTTTAAAGCCCTAAACGGTTCTGGCCCAACTTATCTATCCGAACGTATCTCAGCCTATCAGCCCACCAGGACCCTAAGATCTTCTGGAGAGTCCCTGCTCTCTATCCCGCCGGCTTCCCAAGTGCGGCTGGCGGGAACGAGAGACAGGGCCTTTTCTGTGGTGGCCCCTCGGCTTTGGAACACCCTCCCTATAGAGGTACGATCAGCCTCCTCGCTGATGGTGTTTCGGAAGAGATTAAAAACATGGATGTTTAAACAAGCATTCGGTTAATCCGTCGCAACGAATTTTGATGACCAAAGGATTGGCAATCACGGACGACGAATTTTGGATTGTGATTTTAACTATGAGATGCATGGGATTATTATTGGTGGCCCAATAATTTGTATTGTGTACGTGTTTCTTGTTTTTAAATTGAATACTGTTTTTAACTGTTGTAAACCGCAATGAGTCGCCGACTTAGGCTGAGATATTAGCGGTATACAAGTGTATAAATAAATAAGTGTATAAATAAACAGCATGACCCAAATCAGGCTCCCTCGCAATCCAAGCAGGCGACGCGCTGTCCCCCTTCTCTGCCCCAGAGCAGCGCACTTCCCTGACCCCAACCAACTGCCGCAGCAGAGAAAACAGGGTCTCCCTTGCCTCCAGCTTGGTCTGGGTGTCTTTCTCCTGCAGCACATGGAGCTTCCCATCCCTGGTCAGCACATACAGGCAGCCCCACTCCGCCAGGACGTCCACCACGTCGTCGAAGACGGAGCTGTACGCGATGAACTTGTTGCCCAAGTCGTAGATGTTCAGGATTTGTTTGTCGGAGTTTTGTGCGTCGCTCCCGGCAAAATCAGACCTGCAACACGGAGCAGCAAGAAGGATTTGAAGAGAGAAGGGGCCAGGGGACAGTTCCATCTTGCCTCCTGCATATGTCACCAGCTGGGGAGCCCTCCCCCCAGCAGCAACTGCCGCTCTGAGCAAGAGTGAAAGGGGGGGGGGGGCAGAAGACAGTTCCACCTTGTCTCCTGTGCTATGTTAATAATATAATACCAGCTGTTCCCTGCCACGCATTGCTGTGGCCCAGTCTGGTAATCTGGAAAATAAAGTAATGGGGGTTCTGTGTGGAAAGTTTTCCCCAATTCTATCGTTGGTGGGGTTCTGAGTTGTAGGTGAACTATAAATCTCAGTAACGACAACTCCCAAATGTCAAGGTCTATTTCCCCCAAACTCCATCTGTGTTCATATTTGGGCAAATGGAATATTCCTGCCAAGTTTGGTCGAGATCCATCATTGTTTGAGTCCACAGTGCTCGCTGGATGTAGGTGAACTACAACTCCCAAACTCAAGGTCAATGCCCACCAAACCCTTCTAGTGTTTTCTGTTGGTCATGGGAGTCGTGTGCAGATGGTTCAATTCCATCATTGGTGGAGTTCAGAATGCTCTTTGATTGTAGGTGAACTATAAATCCCAGCAACTACAACTCCCAAATGACAAAATCATTTTTTTCAGTGAAGGACATACATTGGGTTGTTAGGTGTCTTGTGGCCAAATTTGGCGGCAATTTGGTCAGTGGTTTTTGAGTTATGTTAATCCCACAAACGAACATTACATTTTTATTTATATAGATAATAGTAATGATAATACATATATATATATTTTGTGTGTGTGTGTGTGTGTGTATATATATATATATATATATATATAATATATGATAATGTAATACTACTACTACTAATATATTATAATTATATTTATATTACGCGTAACATTACTAATAATATTACAATATAATGGTATAATACAATATAGTAATATTTAATACTGATATTGTACTATGCTCATAATATAATATATTGTATGTATATATATCTCGTAAGCCGCTCTGAGTCCCCTTCGGGGTGAGAAGGGCAGAATATAAATGTCGTAAATAAATAAATAAATTTGTGCAAACTCCACCCAGCATTGAGCTCAGAAAGGAACATGAAAAACTAAGCTGGAACTGATGCTGCTTTACACATATAACCTTCAAATGCTGTGGCTCCAAATGACGAAATCTAGATTGGTAGTTTGGGGAGGGATATAGAACAGCCTACTAGAGAGCTTTAGTAATGTAGTTCAGTTCTACACAATTCGAAATACTTCACCAGCTACAAATCCCAGTATTCCACTGAATGGTTCCATGGCAGTTAAAGTATTATCAACTTAAGATCAAGTCAGGGCTTGAAAAATAACTGTAGTTGCAAATAACTACAAATAGCAACTAATTTGAAAAACTAAGAATATGTTTTTTACTTTATTAAACATTATTACTTTAATGTTTCATTCGATTGTAACATTTGTATATTTAGAGATTTTAAATTGCATTGGTTTTTGTGTCTTTTTTAGAAGGAGAAAGTGGGATACAAATAATAACAACAATAATAGTAATAATAATAATTGATGTAACTGTGGATACACACTTCTTGGAGGACATTCTCATATAAAATCCAGATGATTTGTTTTGCACTGGATTAGGTGGCAGTGTGGACTCATAGAATCCAGTTCAAAGTAGATAATGTGATTTATCTGCTTTATAATAATAATAATAATAATAACACTTTATTTGTACCCCACTACCATCTCCCCAAGGGATTCCGTGCGGCTTACATGAGGCTGAGCCCAAATACAACAATACAAGCAATAATCACAACAATACAAGCAATAATCACAACAATACAAGCAATTAAAAAAAAAACATGGACAATAAGATATGCTTTGATAATCTGGATTACATGGCAGTGTAGAAGGAGCCCAATAAAAGATTCCCGCGTTATCTTCCTCCATTCTTGCTTCCCTTGCCTAAGAAAGGGTGATATCCTGGGGGGGAAACCCTTTTCTTCCAAATGCCAGCAAATGAAAGAGGAGATATAGCCTGCACATGAGAATGAGGGTGAAAGTGTGGTTGTGCCTTACTTTGGAGAGGTCTTCCGGTCCTTGGACACGATGACAAGGAAGCCTCGATACCAGTGGGCAATCAGCTTCTGGCCCTCGAAGGCAAAACACGGTCCCCGCTCGTCCGGCTGGTACAAGTATACGCATTCATCTCCAGCCACGATGAACTGAAGGTCCTGGGAGAGGTCGCTGAGAGTGGAGCAGCGCAGGCCACAGCCACGCGTGTCCAGCTCCAGCTGCGGGTAGTCCTTCACGGAGAGCGTGTAGCACTGCAAAGCCACATGGGGGGAAAAGGCAGCAATGAAGCTGCTGAGCCGACTGACCAGCTCCATTCCCCGCTCCATGCTCCACCAAACATCTCACCTGGATGTTCTCGGTGGTGGCGACAAACAGGTGGGTTGTTTTCCCGGACTGGCGAAAGGCGAGGCCTGTCACTGGGAAACTCCCCTCGTGAAGTATCTGGGTCTTGCTGTGTCGGTCTCTCGTGATGTCGCCTTTTGTGAGAACGACACTGCCATCAGCAAAGCCTAAGGCAGAGAAGAATAAGAACGCTACACCTCACGTAACATTTCGAGACAGGAGAGTAAACCGACCCAACAGAGAGTTAAATTAGTATGCCAACCCAATTCGATATGGTTGTTGAGACAGTTTTAACTAGTGGATTTTAACATCAAGATAAGTGATTTTAATGCTTTTGTATGTGTATGGTCTAATATGTTTCGGCATTGAATGTTTGCCATTTATATGTGAGAAGGGTGGAATATAAATGCTATAAATAAATAAAATGTCATCAACACATCAAAGATACAATTGGAGCCCAAATTTTTAAATCTGGGAATTTCAAACAAACAAACAAAATCATTGAACTATAAAATATTGCAGTACCCAAAAACAAATATTGCATAGATTTTAGGAATTATCGTGTTGGTTCATGTATATGTACGTGTATATAGATCTGTTTTATTGTGTTTTTATGAGTACGTAAACTGAAAATAAAAAACACAGAGCTCATAAATTACATCAACATGCCCTCAGTTCCTTTCACAAGACCTTGCTATGACATTAGACTAGCTTTGAACAACTACAGCTCATTACAACCATTTTGTCTCCATTTACCAATAGCCATGAAGTTGAGATTCTCATGGACGGTGAGGCAGGACACAACCGTGGGCTTGTTGCCAGGAATCGCGGGGAAAATGCGAGTGCAGAGAGGATTCCCACCATCGCGTTTCTCGAGATTCCAGACTTTGACCTAGAAATCATGACAGTCTGATGGTCAGGGAAGCCACACTAGGGAGAAATATATAGTTTTACCTAGAGATTTAAATGCGACAGTGCACAAAATATGTATCTTTTTACCCTTTAAAGGGATCTCGGCTGTGGCCCCCGCCTATGGAACACACTCCCAAATGCTCCCTCCCTCCTGGCTTTTAGAAAAAAAATTAAATCATGGTTTTGGGACCAGGCCTTCGGGCATTGGAAGTAAATGTATGCCGCATTTCAGAAAGACAATGACGGGAACGGCGATTCGACAGACGAGGCTGTTTTATTGTTTTAATTATTGTTTTATTGCTTGTGGATGCAMTGTTTTTAACTTAATTTATGTCTAATTGTAGTGTATAATTGTAATTGTTTGTACTGGCATTGAATTTTTGCCATTACTTATGTGTAAACCGCTTTGAATCCCCCTCGGGGTGAGAAAAACGGTATACAAATACTGTAAATAATAATTAATAAYCTTTGGACTTAGTCATCTTATTAGCTTGTTAAATACAGTATAAATCAGGCATAGGCAAACTTGGGCTCTACAGGTGTTTTGGACTTCAACTCCCACAATTTCTAACGGTAGGCTGTTAGGAATTGTGGGAGTTGAAGTCCAAGACACCTGGAGGGCCCCAGTTTGCCCATGCCTGCCATAAGAAGTCTCTCTCCCTCTCCCTAAACACAGAAAGCCTTTCAAGGGAGACATCTCCCCTCCAACTCACCAAAGGGTTGATGCCTTCCTCATCCTCCCCCACAGAAGCCAGGATGCTGTGCTGCTTCAGCTGGAAGAGGTGCGTCACCCGCAGCTTATAGGCCTGGAAGCTGCTGAGCTCCAGGGAGCGGGGCAGGAACCAGATCACCCCTTCCATATGTGAGAGATCTCCGTTAAGGATGCAACTGTCACCAAAGGGCCAAACAGCCTGGCTTGTGAAGTCGTGGTTCTTTCACATTCATACCCACCCTGAAGATGATGATGAGGACCCATCCCCTGCTTTTCCTCTCCTAAGCAAGACTCGGAGCAGTTCACAACACGAAAAACAATACAGTTTTAAACCTGATTACTTGCTACGCTCGTCTAAGGAAGGGATTTGGTGATCTGGTGAATAGAAGGTCCACAAACTGCCTCTCATTGAGAGTTGCAATAGGCAAGCTTAAACTGGCAAGACCAACTCCCAGAATTACAAAGACAGAAAGTTCTGTCGAAGACTTTCATGGCCGGATTCATTGGGTTGCTGTGAGTTTTCCGGGCTGTATAGCCATGTTCCAAAAGCATTCTCTCCTGACATTTTGCCCACATCTATGGCAGGCTTCCTCAGAGGTTGTGAAAACTTCACATACAGCCTGGAATTCTCAAGCAACTCAAAGATGGAAGGGATGCCTAGAGTAATCTAATGCAGTCTCTTGCCACAAAGAAATCCACACATAACGCTCCCAAAGAAAGGACTACCAGATTCTGTTTAGGGGCGTCCAAAGACAAGCCAGCCATTACCTTCAGGATGTCCTGATTGACACTTCATTGAAATTGTTTTCCTTCAGATTTCAATCAATTGGTTACATTTGGATGGATCTATACTGCCATATAAAGAGACATTATTTTCATTACAGGAGACTGGAATGCCAAGGTGGGAAGTCAAATGACAACTGGGATCACAGGCAAGCATGGTCTGGGAGAACAAAATGAAGCGGGACGCAGGCTGATAGAATTTTGCCAGGAAAACTCGCTGTGTATAACGAACACTCTCTTCCAACAACCTAAAAGACGGCTTTACACATGGACTTCACCAGATGGTCAGCACCGAAATCAGATTGACTACATCCTTTGCAGCCAAAGGTGGCGGACATCCATCCAGTCGGTGAAAACAAGACCTGGGGCTGACTGTAGCTCAGATCACAAACTTCTTATTGCTCAGTTTAGAATAAAACTAAAGAGATCAGGGAAAATACACAGACCAGTTAGATATGATCTCACTAACATTCCTAGCGAATATACAGTGGAAGTGAAGAACAGATTTGAAGGACTAGATTTAGTAAACAGAGTCCCAGAAGAACTATGGACAGAAGTCCGTGACATTGTTCAGGAGGCGACAACAAAGTACGTCCCAAAGAAAAAGAAAACCAAGAAGGCAAAATGGTTGTCTGCTGAGACACTGGAAGTAGCCCAAGAAAGGAGGAAAGCAAAAGGAAACAGGGATAAGGGGAGATATGCCCAGTTAAATGCGCAATTCCAGAGGTTAGCCAGAAGAGATAAGGAACTATTTTTAAATAAGCATTGCATGGAAGTGGAAGAAGACAACAGAATAGGAAGGACAAGAGACCTCTTCCAGAAAATTAGAAACATTGGAGGTAAATTTCAGGCAAAAATTGGTATGATAAGAAACAAAGATGGCAGGGACCTAACGGAAGCTGAAGAGATCAAGAGAAGGTGGCGAGACTATACAGAAGATCTGTATAGGAAGGATAATAATATTGAGGATAGTTTTGACGGTGTGGTGAATGAATTAGAACCAGACATCCTTAGGAGTGAGGTTGAATGGGCCTTAAGAAGCATTGCTAACAACAAGGCAGCAGGAGATGACGGGATCCCAGCTGAACTGTTTAAAATCTTAAAAGATGATGCTGTCAAGGTGATGCATGCCATATGCCAGCAAATATGGAAAACACAAGAATGGCCATCAGACTGGAAAAAATCAACTTATATCCCCATACCAAAAAAGGGAAATGCGAACGACTGCTCCAACTTCCGTACAGTGGCCCTTATTTCTCATGCCAGTAAGGTAATGCTCAAGATCCTGCAAGGAAGACTCCAGCAATACATGGAGCGAGAGTTGCCAGATGTTCAAGCTGGGTTTAGAAAAGGCAGAGGAACGAGAGATCAGATTGCCAATATCCGCTGGATAATGGAGAAAGGCAGGGAGTTTCAGAAAAACATCTATTTTTGCTTCATTGACTATTCTAAAGCCTTTGACTGTGTGGATCATAATAAATTGTGGCAAGTTCTTGGTGGGATGGGCATCCCAAGCCCCCTTCCCTCTCTCCTGAGGAATCTGTACAAGGACCAAGTAGCAACAGTCAGAACTGACCACGGAACAACAGACTGGTTCAAGATTGGGAAAGGCGTACGGCAAGGCTGCATACTCTCACCCAACCTTTTTAACTTGTATGCAGAACACATCATGCGATGTGCGGGGCTTTATGAATGCAAAGCTGGGGTGAAAATTGCTGGAAGAAACATTAACAACCTCAGATATGCAGATGACACCACTCTGATGGCCGAAAGCGAGGAGGAGCTGAGGAGCCTTCTAATCAAGGTGAAAGAAGAAAGCGCAAAAGCTGGGTTGCAGCTAAACATCAAAAAAACCAAGATTATGGCAACAAGAATGATTGACAACTGGAAATAGAGGGAGAAAACGTGGAGGCCGTGACAGGGTTTGTATTTCTAGGCGCAAAGATTACTGCAGATGCAGACTGTGGCCAGGAAATCAGAAGACGCTTACTTCTTGGGAGGAGAGCAATGTCCAGTCTCGATAAAATAGTAAAGAGTAGGGACATCAGACTGGCAACAAAGATCCGCCTAGTCAAAGCCATGGTCTTCCCTGTAGTCACCTGGATGTGAGAGCTGGACCTTAGGGAAGGCTGAGCGAAGGAAGATCGATGCTTTTGAGCTGTGGTGCTGGAGGAAAGTTCTGAGAGTGCCTTGGACTGCGAGAAGATCCAACCAGTCCATCCTCCAGGAAATAAAGCCCGACTGCTCATTGGAGGGAAGGAGACTAGAGACAAAGTTGAAGTACTTTGGCCACATCATGAGGAGACAGCAAAGCCTAGAGAAGACAATTATGCTGGGGAAAGTGGAAGGCAAAAGGAAGAGGGCAAGATGGATGGATGGCATCCTTGAAGTGACTGGACTGACCTTGAAGGAGCTGGGGGTGGTGACGGCCGACAGGGAGCTCTGGCGTGGACTGGTCCATGAGGTCACGAAGAGTCGGAGACGACTGAACGAATGAACAACAACAACAATACTGCCATATAATGCAGTCTGCAAATCTCTTGGGAAGACAGGCAGACAAATGTCAGCATGCTGGAAGAAGCAAAGACCACCTTTGCATTGAAGTGATGCTCTTCCGCCATCAACTCTGCTGGAATGAAGACCACGTTGTCCAAATGCCTGATCACCACCTCTCAAAGCAGTACTCTGAACTCAAGAATGGGAAACAGAATGTTGGTAGACAGCAAAAGAGATGTAAAGACGGGCTTAAAGCCAAACTGAAAAACTGTGGCATAGACACCGAGAACTGGGAAGCCCTGGCCCTTGAGCGCTCTAACTGAAGGTCAGCCATGACCAGCAGTGCTGCAGAATTCAAAGAGGCACAAATGGAGGGTGAAACGTGCCAAGAGGAAGAAGGTGCGTCAAGCCAACCCTGACCGGGACCACCTTCCATCTGGAAACTGATGTTCTCACTGTGGGAGAACCTGTGGGTCAAGAATAGGGCTCCACAGCCACCTACGTATCCACTGCCAAAACACTGCACTTGGAAGGCTATTGTCCTCGGACAACGAGGGATTACCTAGGTATCTATCACCTATCTATCTATCAATCCAAGCATCTCTCTCCTTCCCTCCCTGTCATCTATCTACCTATCTATCCCTCCATCCATTATCTTTCTATCCCTCCCTATATCTATCTACCCCTCCATCCATGTATGTATCCCTCCCTCCATGTATCTATCCTTCCCTCCCTCCATGTATCTATCTATCCCTCCCTCCATGTATCTACCTATTTATCTATCTATCCCTCCATCCATCCATGTATGCATCTATCTATCCCTCCATGCATCTATCTATGTATCCCTCCATCCATCTATATATCTATCTATTCCTCCCTCCATCCATGTATCTACCTATCCCTCCATCCATGCATCTATCTATCCCTCCATCCATGTAGCTATCCATCCATCCATGTATCTATCTATCCCTCCATCCACATATCTATGCCTCCATCCACATATCTATCTATCCCTCCATCCATGTATCCACCTATCTATCCATCATTGTATCTATCTATCTATCTATCTATCTATCTATCTATCTATCCATGCATCTATCTATCCCTCCATCCATGCATCTATCTATCTATCCATCCATGCATCTATCTATCTATCCCTCCATCCATGTAGCTATCCATCCATCCATGTATCTATCTATCCCTCCATCCACATATCTATCCCTCCATCCACATATCTATCTATCACTCCATCCATGTATCCATCTATCCTTCCATCCATGTATCTATCTATCTATCCATCCATCCATGTATCTATCTATCCATCCATCTACATATCTATTTATCCCTCCATCCATGTATCTATCTATCCCTCCATCCATGTATCTATCTATCCCTCCATCTATGCATCTATCTATGTCTCCATCCGTCCCTCCATCCATGTATCTATCTATCCCTCCATCCATGCATCTATCTAACTCTCCCTCTGTTCCTCCATCCATGCATCTATCTATCTCTCCCTCCGTTCCTCCATCCATGTATCTATCTATCCCTCCCTCTATCTCTCCATCTATCCATGTATCTATTGCTCCATACATGTATATCTATCTATCTATCTATCTATCTATCTATCTATCTATCTATCTATCTATCCACCCGTCTCTCCATCCATGTATGTGTTTATCTATCTATTCCTCCATCATTGCATCTATCTATCCCTACTTCCCTCCATGTATCTATCTATCCATCCCTCCATGTATCTATTTATCTATCTATCCCTCGATCCATGTATCTATCTATCCCTCCATTCATGCATCTATCTCTCCCTCCATTCATGCATCTATCTCTCCCTCCCTCTATCCATGCATCTATCCATCTATCTCTCCCTCCATTCATCTATCCATGTATCTTTCTATCCCTCCCTCCATCTATCTATCCATCCTTCCATCCATGCATCTATCTCTCCCTCCATCCATGTATCTATCCATCTATCTCTCCCTGCATTCATCTATCCATGTATCTATCCCTCCCTCCATGCATCTATCTCTCCCTCCATGCATCTATCTCTCCCTCCATCCATGCATCTATCTATCTCTCCCTCCGTCTCTCCATCCATATATCTATCTATCTCTCCCTCCATTCATCTATCCATGTATCTATCCCTCCCTCCATCTATCCATCCCTCCATCCATGCATCTATCCATCTATCTCTCCCTCCATTCATCTATCCATGTATCTATCCCTCCATTCATCTATCCATGTATCTATCCCTCCCTCCATCTATCTCTCCCTCCCTCCATCCATGCATCTATCCATCTATCTCTCCCTCCATTCATCTATCCATGTATCTTTCTATCCCTCCCTCCATCTATCTATCCATCCTTCCATCCATGCATCTATCTCTCCCTCCGTCCCTCCATCCATGTATCTATCCATCTATCTCTCCCTGCATTCATCTATCCATGTATCTATCCCTCCCTCCATGCATCTATCTCTCCCTCCATGCATCTATCTCTCCCTCCATCCATGCATCTATCTATCTCTCCCTCCGTCTCTCCATCCATATATCTATCTATCTCTCCCTCCATTCATCTATCCATGTATCTATCCCTCCCTCCATCTATCCATCCCTCCATCCATGCATCTATCCATCTATCTCTCCCTCCATTCATCTATCCATGTATCTATCCCTCCATTCATCTATCCATGTATCTATCCCTCCCTCCATCTATCTCTCCCTCCCTCCATCCATGCATCTATCCATCTATCTCTCCCTCCATTCATCTATCCATGTATCTTTCTATCCCTCCCTCCATCTATCTATCCATCCTTCCATCCATGCATCTATCTCTCCCTCCGTCCCTCCATCCATGTATCTATCCATCTATCTCTCCCTGCATTCATCTATCCATGTATCTATCCCTCCCTCCATGCATCTATCTCTCCCTCCATCCATGCATCTATCTATCTCTCCCTCCGTCTCTCCATCCATATATCTATCTATCTCTCCCTCCATTCATCTATCCATGTATCTTTCTATCCCTCCCTCCATCTATCTATCCATCCTTCCATCCATGCATCTATCTCTCCCTCCGTCCCTCCATCCATGTATCTATCCATCTATCTCTCCCTGCATTCATCTATCCATGTATCTATCCCTCCCTCCATGCATCTATCTCTCCCTCCATTCATCTATCTATCCCTCCATCCATGCATCTATCTCTCCCTCCGTCTCTCCATCCATGTATCTATCTCTCCCTCCATTCATCTATCCATGTATCTATCCCTCCATCCCTCCCTCTATCCCTCCATCCATGCATCTATCTACCTCTCTTTCCAAGACCCACCGCCAAGACCATCATCCTCGAGCTACGAGGAATCGCCTGAGTAAGCAATTATTTGTATATTTTGAGTGGCAATCTTTTGGATGGCGAGCCGCTTTGAGTGTCCGTATGGAGATATAAAGCGGGATATAAATAATTGAATGAACAGAAGCCCCGGCAGCGGTGGCGCTTGGCACTCTGCACGCGCTCAGAGGCCGCCTCTCCCCCTCCCACCCCAAAGCCCCTCCCCCCTCAGCGGTGATTTGGGAAGGATATCCCCGAAGACAAGGCTCCCTCTGCCGGCGTCGCAGGCGGAGATGCCCGGCGGCAGGAGGAGCGGCCTTCCCTCGGCGGCCGAGGCCAGCGTCTCCCGGTCGAAGAAGGCGAAGCGCCGCCACTGCAGGTACGCCGCCATCTTGGCCAAAGCGAAGCAAAACAGAGCCACTTCCGCTCCGCCGTGCGTCACTTCCGCTGTGCTGCCGGGTGTTGCAGCTCCTCGCCACGCCCCCTTCCCAAGCTGAGGCGCCTCGTGCGGAGACGGGAGGGAAGGTCCCGCCCACTGCTCGCTGGCAACCAATGGCGTGCCCGCAACTCCCGGCAACCTGGAACGTGGCCCAATAGCGGGCGAGGGGAGGCGGGGCTTGCTTCGGGTGGGCCAATGAGCGGGCGCCGCGTCCTTGAGGCTTTCCGCCGGTCGGGAGAACCGAGAGGAGGCTTCGCTGTGGGAGAAGGAGGCTGAGGAAGGATCCGGGATGAGGCCGCTCCTGCTGCTGTTCGCCCTGCTGCTCGGCGCGGGTCTTTCCGGTGAGTCTGGCGGGTCCCAAGCTTGGAGGGAGCTCTTCCGGGCCAAATGGGCGAGGGGCTGCTTCTGATTGGCCCGAAGGAGGAGGGAAGCAAAGAGGCAGGGGCGCCCTACTGCAGCCACAAAGGCCAACACGATCCTCAACCTGCCAGGCTTCAGAAAAGGCCACTCAAAAGGAAAGGAAGGGCTTCAAGGGACCTCAGAGAGAGCCAGGCCCCTTCCACACAGAATCCCACTTTGAACCGGATTATGTGGCAGTGTGGACTCAGATAAACCGGTTCAAAGCAGACATTGTAGGTGATCTGCCTCGATATCCTGTGTAGAAGGGCCCTGAGTATAGAATCATAGAATCCTAGAGTTAGAAGAGACCTGTGTTTCTAATAATAATAATAATAATAATAATAATAATAATAAATACATCACAGTCCTAGGCACTTGGGAAGTGTCTTATGTGTGATCCAATACAACAGCCAGCAGTGATCTTGTCTGCTGTGGACTCATCTTGTTGTGTTTATAATAATAATAATAATAATAATAATAAATACATCACACCGTCCTAGACACTTATAGAATCCTAGAATCAAAGAGTTGGAAGAGACCTGATTGGCCATCATCCAGTCCAACCCCATTCTGTCAAGAAGCAGTAAAATCGCATTCAAATCACCCCTGACAGATGGCCATCCAGCCTCTGTTTCAAAGCATCCAAAGAAGGAAAGAGCCTCCACCACATTCCGGGGCAGAGAGTTCCACTGCTGAACGGCTCTCACACTCAGGAAGTTCTTCCTCGTGTTCAGATGGAATCTCCTTTCTTGTAGTTTGAAGCCATTGTTCCATTGCGTCCTAGTCTCCAAGGAAGCAGAAAACAAGCTTGCTCCCTCCTCCTCCCTGTGGCTTCCTCTCACATATTTATATCTGCCCAGCCTTCTCTTCTTCAGGCTAAACATGCCCAGCTCCTTAAGCCACTCCTCATAGGGCTTGTTCTCCAGACCCTTGATCTGCTCCCTATGACTTCCTCTCACATATTTATACATGGCCCTCATCATGTCTCCTCTCAGCCTCTCTTCTTCAGGCTAAACATGCCCAGCTCCTTAAGCCGCTCCTCATAGGGCTTGTTCTCCAGACCCTTGATCATTTTAGTCGCTTTCCTCTGGACACATTCCAGCTTGTCAATATCTCTCTTGAATTGTGGTGCCCAGAATTGGACACAATATTCCAAGTGTGGTCTAACGAAGGTCTAATGTAGAATCATAGAATCATAGAATCATAGAATCAAAGAGTTGGAAGAGATCTCCTGGGCCTTCATCCAGTCCAACCCCATTCTGCCAAGAAGCAGGAATATTGCATTCAAATCACCCCTGACAGATGGCCATCCAGCCTCTGTTTAAAAGCTTCCAAAGAAGGAGCCACCACCACACTCCAGGGCAGAGAGTTCCACTGCTGAACGGCTCTCACAGTCAGGAAGTTCTTCCTCATGTTCATATTCCTAGTGTGCAAGGAAGCAGAAAACAAGCTTCTCCCTCCTCCTCCCTGTGGCTTCCTCTTACATTTTTATACATGGCCATTATCATGTCTCCTCTCAGCCTTCTCTTCTTCAGGCTAAACATGCCCAGCTCCTTAAGCTGCTCCTCATAGGGCTTGTTCTCCAGACCCCTGATCTGCTCCCTCCTCCCTGTAACTTCCTCTCACATATTTATACATGGCTATCATATCTCCTCTCAGCCTTCTCTTCTTCAGGCTAAACATGCCCAGCTCCTTAAGCCGCTCCTCATAGGGCTTGTTCTCCAGACCCTTGATCATTTTAGTCGCCTCCTCTGGATACATTCCCATGGCTATCATACTCCTCTCAGCCTTCTCTTCTTCAGGCTAAACATGCCCAGCTCCTTAAGCCGCTCCTCATAGGGCTTGTTCTCCAGACCCTTGATCATTTTAGTCGCCCTCCTCTGGACACACTTCCAGCTTGTCAATATCTCTCTTCAATTGTGGTGCCCAGAATTGGACACAATATTCCAGGTAAAGTGGTCTAACCAAAGCGGAATAGAGCATGGGGAGCATGACTTCCCTAGATCTAGACACTAGGCTCCTCTTGATGCAGGACAAAATCCCATTGGCTTTTTCTGCCGCCACATCACATTGTTGTCTCATGTTTAACTTGCTGTCCACGAGGACTCCAAGATCTTTTTCTTTGGCCTCTTCTACACTGCTATATAATCCGGAATATCAAGGCAGATCAGCCACATTATCTGCTTTGAACTGGATTATTTGAGGGCCCTTCAATCCCAGAATTATCAAGGCAGAAAATCCCACAAGATCTGTTTTGAACTGGGTTCTCTGAGTCCACACATTAGAGAGATGGGTTGTTGTAGGTTTTTTTGGGCTATATGGCCATGTTCTAGAGGCATTTTCTCCTGACGTTTCGCCTGCATCTGTGGCAGGCATCCTCAGAGGTTGTGAGGTCTGTTGGAACTAGGAAAATGGGTTTATATATCTGTGGAATGACCAGGGTGGGACAAAGGGCTCTTGTCTGCTGGAGCTAGGTGTGAATGTTTCAACTGACCACCTTGATTAGCATATATGGCTTGGCAGTGCCTGGAGCAAACGTACAGATTAGAGAGATGGGTTGTTGTAGGTTTTTTCGGGCTATGTGGCCATGTTGTAGAGGCATTCTCTCCTGACGTTTCGCCTGCATCTATGGCAAGCATCCTCAGAGGTAGTGAGGTCTGTTGGAACTAGGAAGATGTATGGCAGTGTTGGCCCCTTCCACGCTGCCATTTAAAATCCAGATTATCTGCTTTGAAGTGGATTATACGAGTCCAGATGTATGGCCCTTCCATGCTGCCATATCAAAATCCAGATTATCTGCTTTGAAGTGGATTATAACTGGATTATATGAGTCCACACTGTTGGATAATCCAGTTCAAAGCAGATAATCTGGATTTTGATATGGCAGTGTAGAAGGAGCCTCATATAATCAGGTTCAAAGTAGCTAATGGGGCTTATCCACTTTGGTAATCTGAATTATATGGCAGTGCAGATCCATCTTAAAAGTCCTAGGCCCCTTCTAAGCTGTCCTTTTATCCCAGGATCTGATCCAAGGTTATCTGCTTTGACCTCCACTATCAAATAATCTGGGATAAACAAATACTGTATATACTCGAGTATAAGCCTAGTTTTTTCAGCCCCTTTTTTAGGCTGAAAAAAGCTCCCCTCGGCTTATACTCGAGTCAAGGTTATGTATAATTTTACTCTGTTATTAGTATTATTTTTATTTCATGTATTATTTTACTCTCTTTACTATTATTACATTTACAGTATTTTACCCTATTATTATTATTATTATTATTGCATTTATTATTTTACTCTATTATTATATTTATTTTTCTATTCTTATTACTGTTATTGCATTTCCATTATTTTACTTTATTGTTATTATTATATTTATTATTTTACTCTATTATTGTTGGAAGGATACGTAAGAACATTTACATTGAAGATATGTAATGATTTAATCAGAGTTGGGCAGTCTTATCTCAAATTACAGTTTTATGTAAATATTAAAAGCATTTCATCTCCTGATGCCTCAATTAATATAATTTTATTGGTATCTATTTTTATTTTGAAATTTACCAGTAGTGGCTGCATTTCCCACCCTCGGCTTATACTCGAGTCAATAAGTTTTCCCAGTTTTTGTGGTAAAATTATGTGCCTCGGCTTATACTCGAGTATATACAGTAATCTGGGATTGGATTCTGGGGTATAAGGACAGTGCAGAAGGGGCCCTAGTAGACCATAAATGGAACAGAAGCCAAGAGTGTGGTATGGTAACTAAAAAGAGCCAATGCAGTTGTCGTGGTGTGGTGTCTAGATGGAAAGGAGGAGGCAAGGATCCCCCTGAACAGGTGGAAGAACCAGGATGCCATGCTGATGTGGCCTGGCCTCTCCACGCATGTGGCATTGCAGAGCCCTTATCTTTCACATCGATTGCAGCATGTGATGAGGAAGTATCCATGCATTGTGCAAGGAATGCTCTACCTGCTATCGTCATGGAGGAGCACAATGCTTTTTAACTTTGCGTGCGTATGAAAGAGTTGTCAATGCTGGGACCTGCCACCTTTTGAGAGGCCACGTGTTGAGAAGCGTGAGCACCTCAACACGGTTTCGCTCTAAGAGCAAAAGGCCCCTCTGGAATGCTTACTGTCTGGAACCTGACATATTAGGAGCCTCGGTGGCACAGTGCGTTAAACCCTTGTGCCAGCTGAACTGCTGACCTGAAGATCAACAGTTCGAATCCGCAAGACAGGGTGAGCTCCCATCTGTCAGCCCCAGCTTCCCATGCAGGGAGATGAGAGAAGCTTCCCACAGGATGTAAGCACATTTTGGCGTCCCCTGGGCAATGTCTTTGTAGATGGTTGATCCTCTCACACCAGAAGCAACTTGAAGTATATTCTCAATTTGCTTCTGGCACAAAAAAATTATCCCAGATTAACTGCTCATCCCAGTGGAGTGGCAGTGGAGACTGATATAATCCAGTTCAAAGCGGATAACCTGGGATCAGATCCTTCTGACACAATAAAAAAACCCTGACATATTATATATTCTCAACTAATGAGGCGCTAATGATTGTTATATGGGTGTTTAATGATTTATGTTACAATTGTTTTTAATTGCCCTATACTTGTCTCGTGATGTTTTGTATTGATGTTGTTCACCGCTTTGAGTCGCCTGAGGGCTGAGAAAAGCGGTATAGAAATAAAGTAAATAATAATAACTAGTCCGTCTTTTCCTGAGTTCTTGAAAGCCCTCGTTGGAGTGAGAGAGATTGCTGCATGACCTCACTTAATGCTGAGATTCTTCTGACGCATTTAACTTGGTGCTTTTGTCCTACAGACTCCTTGGCCGTGATGTCAGTGGACTTGGGCAGTGAATCTATGAAGATCGCCATCGTCAAGCCCGGGGTGCCCATGGAGATCGTCTTAAACAAGTGAGGGGGCCTGCAGCAATGCTGTCTTGAAACCTGGTGCATCTTAATTAATTGTACCATGAGACACACTTAATTAAGATGGGAACGCACAGCAGAGTGGTGGGGATAGTGCTTTTATTTATTTATTGACGACATTTATATGGATAATTTTCTATAACTTTTAGCATTTTTACATCCCCACCACATATGGAAAAAAAATCCAGTTTGTGTACAGCATTTCCAGAAACAATCTTTAATATTTTTATAGAATTTGGCCAATTTTTGTGGTGTGATGTACCACGGGTACATCATCTTGTACCAATTTTCTTGAAGAAGATGACAGGAAGTCTTTTCATTGCCACCTCCTTCTGCCTTCAGGGAATCTCGGAGGAAAACCCCGGTGGCTGTGACGCTGAAGGAGAACGAGCGCCTCTTTGGAGACAACGCTGTGGGAATGGTAAGCCCCAGGGCTCTCCCTCAGTTCAGGCTTCATGTTGTTGTTATTCATTTATTTATTTATTTATTTATTTACAACTTTTATATTCCGCCCTTCTCCTCACCCCGCAGGGGACTCAGGGCGGATTACAGTGTACACACATATGTTATATCTCAGGCTAAGATTCACCTTGCTGTCTCTGACAAACCAGCCAAACTTGTGAGGTAGAGAGTTTATTGTGAAGTTTTCCAAACAAAGCAGATTATAAGCAGTAAAAAGATCAGTAGTACAAGGTAAAAATCCAATATAATCCCTTTGAGTCAAAGTAGGAGACTTGAAGCAAAGAAGCAGAGTAAAGTCCAGGAAATAGCATGAGGTTACTTGAAGCAGGCTTTTCCCAAGCCCAAGAGCCGAAGCCAAAGCGAGCCATTTTAGCAACGTTGGAACTGACACAGGACCACTTCCAAGGCAGGTTACTTATACGTTAAACATCAAAACATCAAACAAGCAGCTAACGAGCAGTTTTCCCACCAACAGATGAGCTCAACACTTGGCTGCAAGTCGTGAACTCTTTCTTAACACCTGGGCAGCGTGACCTTGTTTCCCACCAACTGTCTTATCAGCTACATTCCGATCTTGTGAAAACAGCGGCCTGTCTCTAGTTGTGTCTCTAGCTACATGAGAAAACTGAAAGCCCACATCTGTACTCTCATTCCCATCATGCTGTTGCTGCTGCTGAACCACAACAACATATATGGCAAACATTCAATGCCCATTTTGACATACAAACATATACAGACATAGACAGAGGCTATTTAACTTTTTCTGGCCACCAGGGGAGCTGTCGCTTTCATCGTCCATCTGCGACACTGATGAAGCACTTCCGCATTCCCCACATGCTTCCCTGCTGGAATGCTTTGCTGGAGTCTTCTTTATGGCCTCATAAATCAGTTAATTTAGCCTCCCCATGCTTTTTTTAAGGTGGTACCTAATTTTCCTACTTGACAGATGCAACTGTCTATCGGGTTGCAAAGATCGACAACAGGCTACACACAATTGGTTGGAAACCCGCTCCAACCCGGGCTGGCTTCGAACTCATGACCTTTTTGGTCAGAGTGATCTGGGATGTTTCTAGGGAAAGGGCCATTGTAATTGGGGAAGAGTGCCATGCTGTAAGGTTTATATTTTTCCTCAGGGCATCAAGAACCCGAAGGTGGCCTTCCGGTACTTCCAGGACCTGCTAGGCAAGCGCATCGATAACCCCCAGGTGGCCCTTTTCCAGGCACGGTTCCCAGAGCATGAGCTGGAGAAGGAGGAGAGGAGGGAGACCGTCACCTTCAAACTGTCCAAGTGAGTGGCCCGTTTCAGGTTGAGCAGGTGTTTTCCCAGAGGCGGGTACTTCACGGTACCTTAAAGCATACAGAACCCAGAAAAGACTTGCTTCGTTTCAATAATTTCCAGTCAGTAGCATTTAACTGAGGTCTAGCTTTTTGTATTATTAGGGTTATAGTTATCTATTGTTTTAACCTTGTGATTAGCAGTCTTGGGTCCCATGTCTGGTAAAGGGTGGTAGGCAGTTTTAAAAAGTGTATTGTTGAAGGCTTTCATGCAATAACATAATAAGGAATAGTGAGTGGACCAATGGAACGACTGCAGACTTGATTTTGGATGGAGTGATTTTAATAACTATTTTTAAATTGTGTTGTTTATCGGTGAGTTTTACTATAAATGTTATTGTATTATCGATGTTTAATTTTTTATGTTTTGCTAGCTGTCCCCTGCCACGCGTTGCTGTGGCCCAGTCTGTGTATATGTGTTTTGTGTGTGCATACAGTATATGTTTGTTTTTATATGTGTATGTGTGTGTGTGTGTGGTTTTGCATGTGCGTTGTAATGTATTTTTTATTTTTTGGCTTTTTAAGTCTCTTCTACTATGTTTCTCAGTGTTGTTATGAATGATGGTCACTCGTTGGCCTGATGTGTGTCTTGTGTCCAAATTTGGTGTCAATTCATCCAGTGGTTTTTGAGTTCTGTTAATCCCACAAACTAGTGTTACATTTTTATTTATATAGACTAGTCATCCCCTGCCACGCGTTGCTGTGACCCAGTCTGTGTATATGTGTTTTTTGTGTGTATATGAGTGTATATATGTGTGTATATATGTTTATATATATGTGTTTATGTGTATATATGGGAGTGTGTGTGTGTCATTTTGCTCATTCGTTGTAATGTACTTTTATTTTTTAGCTTTTTAAGTCTCTTCTGTTGTGTTTTCCACTGTTTTTATGAGTGAGGGTCACTCGTTGGCCTGAGAGATGTCTTGTGTCCAAATTTGGTGTCAATTCGTCCAGTGGTTTTTGAGTTATGTTAATCCCACAAACAAACATTATATTTTTATTTATATAAATGTCTATATGTTCTTTTATGTCTATGTTTTAATTTGGTTAGGTTAATTTATGGTTATATGTTATTGTCTTGCTATTATCTTTTGGTTTTCTCATGTATGTATGGCATTGAATTTTGCCTTTTATCATGTTGGAAGCCACTTTAAGTTCCCTCATGGGGAGAAAAGCAGTATATAAATGTAGTAAATAAATAATCGAGCCCCTGGTGGCACAGTGGGTTGAAGCACTAAGATGTTGAACTTGCTGACCAAAAGGTTGCCGGTTTGCATCCGGGGAGCGGGGTGAGCTCCTGCTGTTAGCCTCAGCTTCTGCCAACCTAGCAGTTCGAAATCATGAAAATGTGAGTAGAGCAATAGGTACTGCTCCGGTGTTTTTTTTAAAAATAGTCTTTATTCAAAGTTTTTCAATTTTGTAACAAACAATTATACACACTTACGCATGAAACACTTAGACACTTACACAAAAAGCTGGCTTGGGGGCGGGGTGGGGGGGGAGCGGGAGAGAGAGGTAAGTTGGGGGGGGGTCGGAGGGGAAGGAATGAAGGGAAGGGTGATGAATGACCTAGAAAAAACTGTGAAAGACATTCCTTCAGTAGAATACATACATACATCAATCAAAGAACAACAGACAATAATCAGCAATAACAATTGGGCTTCCCAAAGTGGGTTCAGCAGGATAATTTGGTATAAACAAGCGTGGAAAAAGGAAAAATACTTATTTCTGTGTCAACTATGCAGCTTCCCTAGTCTCCTAGAGTGATGTTTTTCCTCTCCCTTAGATAACGCCTGAACGGCTGCCAGTCGATCCTGTATTTCTTGCTGGTATCATATGTCATAGTCGCAAGTGTATCCAAGTCCATTAAATTTAATGGACTTTAATGCTCCGGTGTTAAAATAACAGCACTCCATGCAGATATGTCAGTGGCCACATGAACTTAGAGGTGTGTATGGACAACGTCGGCTCTTTGACTTAGAAATGGAGATGAGTACCGGACATGACTGGACATAACATTGGGGGAAAAACCTTTACCTAAATAAATAATTATTAAATTCATAGCCGAAATCACTGGGATATGGTGTGGTTTCTGGGCTGCATGGCTGTGTCCAAGCAGCATTTTCTCCTGACATTTTGCCTGCATCTGTGGCTACTGGCATCACCAGTATAGGAATGCATGAAATGTCACCCTCAGGAACATTCTGGGAGCTTCCACAGCATCCAAACGCATGCACACACTCTGTCTCTGACCCCATTTTCTGAAAAGCATGCCCTGTTTACTTAAAGGTGCCTTTCACAGGATGCTTTCCCTCTGTGTCCTTCTCGTAGAACATTGCAGTATTCTCCGGAAGAGATCCTGGGCATGGTCCTGAACTATTCACGAGCGCTGGCCGAAGAATTTGCAGGTTGGAAGTGTGTCACAGGGCAGACGTTGCTTTTGTCTAGTGGGTGGGAGCGTTAGGGAAAGGGCGACTGAGCGAGTGGGCCATGGAGATGCTGAGCCCTCCTCCTCCCCTCCATAAGAGAAGCGGAAGGCCTCAGGCGGTAACGTGGCTCCCCTCCCCATTGTACAGAGCAGCCCATCAAGGACGCCGTCATCACCGTCCCGGCCTTCTTCAACCAGGCCGAGAGGAGAGCCGTCCTCCATGCCGCCAAGATGGCCAACCTCAAGGTCTTGCAGCTCATCAATGACAACACCGCAGTGGCCTTGAACTACGGCGTCTTCCGGAGGAAGGACATTAATGCTACCGCTCAGGTACTTATGGCCAGAGGAAACGGGGCTCTGGGGTGTGGGAGACAATGAAGGCTTTCTCTGGAGTTCAGGCTCATTGTCCTTTGGGAGTTGTTTTTTAAGCAGTTACCTTCTCCTGGCCAAGTGAGACGGGGCAAGGTCTGATTTGGAGCAAAGCAGCTTCATATTTTTAAACCTGACGTGACAATAGAGCTGGGTTGTTGTGAGTTTTCCAGGCTGCATGGCCATGTTCCAGAAGCATTCTCTCCTGACGTTTCACCCCCATCTGGTCAAAGGACATGTAATCAACGACCAAGCTTGCAAACTTTGTGTTTTGTTTGTTTGCTTGTTAAAAAATGCAATACAACTGTTTGGTTTGCTTCTGTCACGATAAATAAATAAACCCCCATCTATGGCAGGCATCGTCAGAGGTTGTGAGGTCTCTTGGAAACTATACCGATGAGGTTTATATACCTGTGGAGTAATGTCCAGGGTGAGAGAAAAAAACTCTTGTCTGTTTGAGGCAAGTGTAAATGTTGCGATTGACCGCTTGGTTAGCATTGGAAAGCCTTGTAGCTTCAAAGCCTGGCTGTTGCTGCCTAGGGGATCTTCTGGGAGGTGTTAACTGGCCCTGATTGATTCTTGTCTGGAATTCCCCTGCTTTTTGAGTGTTGCTCTTTATTTACTATCCTTAATTTAATTTTAACAGAAAAGAAGAAACCATGAAAATGAACAGCATCTGGCTAATAGTATTTTAAAAAATCAATTTTCCTAGTTAATAATAATAATAATAATAACTTTATTTATATCCTGCTACCATCTCCCAAGGGACTCGGTGTGGCTTACATGAGGCTGAGCCCACAATACATCAATAGTAAAAGCAATAACAACAAATAATACAAAAGAATAACAAAATAAGCAATAAATATTAACTGTAACAAAACGACATTTAAAACCTATGGTTGGGCTAAATGTAATAATTAAAATTAAAGGTAATGCTGAGCATGAACAGATGAAATATGAACTAGGATAGAGTTTTCAGAGAGCTCACAACCTCTGAGGATGCCTGCCATAGATGCGGGTGAAACATTAGAAGAGAATGCTTCTGGAACATGGCCAGACAGCCCAAAAAACTTACAACAACCCAGTATTAAAAAACTTTAAAATCATCTAGGACTCTTAAGATTGTCTGGCGAGGCCCTGCTCTCGGTCCTACCCTCTTCGCAGATGCGTCTGGTGGGGATGAGAGATGGGGCCTTCTCAGTGGTGGTCCCTCGGCTGTGGAACGTCCTCCCTAGAGATATTAGATCAGCCCCCTCCCTCCTGATTTTTTGTAAAAAAAGTCAAAACATGGCTCTTTGAGCAAGCTTTCACAAATGCCGCATAACAGGTAAATATGGAACTACGGAACGACTGGACGATGCGACTGGAAAATTACTTTAGTAAGGAGGTGCTGTTGATTTATGTTTTTATTGTGTTTTATTGGTTTTGTTATATGCGAAATGTTTTAATTCTATTTTATGTCTGTGGGGGCATCGAATTGCTGCAAACCGCCTTGAGTCGCCTTTGGGCTGAGAAAGACGGTATACAGTTACCGTAAACAAATAAATAAAAATAAATAAAATCAGGACAGCACACTGAAGATAGAGCTGATCTCAAAAAACAAACCCCAATGCAACTCTATCCCTGTTTTACATAATAAGTGGTTCTTCATTGATTTGCAGAACATCATGTTCTATGACATGGGAGCAAGCAGCACGGTGTCCACCATTGTGACCTACCAGACTGTGAAGAGCAAGGAATCGGGGACTCAGCCTCAGTTGCAGATCCGAGGGGTCGGGTAAGAGTCCTCTGCCTCCATCCTGGGCTTAGAATTAGATCTCCGTTGTCTAATTGATGAGTGATGCAAATGCTTTGTCAGTCCAAATTCTGAAGCCCATCATGTGAAGCGTGATGTGTACTGAAACGGAGGGTTTGGGCTAAAAGGGAAACGCCACCAAGGCAGAGGTGGCTGCTGGGCTTCCTTGCAGGCAGTGCGGTGGCCCTAACTCCAGCTTCTGTGTCTTGCAGATTTGACCGCACGCTGGGAGGCCTGGAGATGGAGCTGCGCCTTCGGGACCATCTGGCCAAACTCTTCAACGAACAGCATCCGTCGAAGGACGTCCGGAAAAACCTCAGAGCCATGGCCAAACTTCTGAAGGAAGCCAACCGCGTGAAAACGGTCCTAAGTGCCAATGCTGACCATATGGCCCAGGTCAGCTGGGTGCACGAGAATGGGTTTGATGCATCGTGGTACATGGTTCTGAAGAGGTTGGAGAGGGGTGGAAGCAATCTGCGAGGGTTTTGTGATTGAGACTATTGGGTGAAACTCTCTGTGAGACGGGGTCCTTTTGGCTTCTCTCCCAGATCGAGGGCTTGTTGGACGACATCGACTTCAAGGCCAAGGTGACGCGGCAGGACTTTGAAGATCTGTGTTCCGACTTGTTCCTGCGGGTTTCTGGGCCCGTGCAGCAGGCGCTGAGCAGCGCTGAGATGAGTCTGGTGAGTGCAGGAGTGTTTCTGGCGCAGGGCCTGCAGTGGCCCTCAGGGACCACAAATGCCAGGATGGAAGGGACTAAGAGGTTTCAGAAAATCCCAGATTCTGCAGAGATTGATGGTGATCATGATGATCATGATGATGAAGTCACAGGGAGGAGGCAGCAAGCTTGTTTTCTGCTTCCCTGGAGACTAGGACAAGGAACAGTGGCTTCAAACTACAAGAGAGGAGATTCCGTCTGAACATGAGGAAGAACTTCCTGACTGTGAGAGCCGTTCAGCAGTGGAACTCTCTGCCCCCGAGTGTGGTAGAAGCTTCTTCTTTGGAGGCTTTTAAACAGAGGCTGGATGGCCATCTGTCAGGGGTGCTTTGAATGCAATATTCCTGCTTCCATGAGGTCTCTTCCAGTTCTAGGATTCTATGATAATGATGTCAGATACATTAAAAATTATCTAGGTATTTTTAATTACAAAAATGTGAGTCAAGCACTGAAAGGGTTTCCAACGGGTTTATCCCTTACAAACATTTTCATTTTCTCATCCAGAGTTTTTATCATGTTATGTTATACATGTGGCCCACTCACTATGATTGATTTCTCATTGCATTATTTTGTTTTGTTTCATTTTGTTTTGTTTTATTGCATTCTTATGGTTTATTTATTTTTATTGTGATATTAGTTTTGTTTTTTGTTTTTATTGTATTTTGTTGTATTTGTATTTCTGGGCTCAGACTTGGGTAAGCCACTCCGAGTCCCCTTTGGGGAGATGGTGGCGGGGTGTAAGTAAAGTTTATTATTATTATTATTTAATGGGTGCAATGACTCAGCAAAAGCTGCAGTTCAATATAAGCAAGGGTGCCTGTATCTTAGTAGCCCTCAGTCTGAGAGAGCCCTCTGTGTGAGAGAGAACTTAGTGGGAGAAAAGCCTCTGTGTGAGGGAGGCCTAGTGTGTTAGTAGGTCTCAGTCTGAGAGAGCCCTCTGTGTGAGAGAGAACTTAGTGAGAGAGAGGCCTCAGTGGGAGAAAGGCCTCAATTTTAGTTCACCTCAGTCTTCACACACGATGGTTGAAGGCCATCGTGTGTGAAGCTACTGTGTTTAAAACTACTGTGTGAAGCTGCTGTGTAAGTTCGGTATGAGAGGAAGCTCTGTGAGAGTGAAGCATTTTATCTGCATGAGAACGAAGCCCAGCAAGGAAGCAAAGAAGGAAGTATAAAGGACTTTATTTGTGTTGTGGAAACCTTGTTGTTGTAAATAGTGCAACAATATTATTTTGCTATAAAGAAAAGCCTCCTAAGGAAGGGATAACTTTGGCCTGCGTGTTTTTGGTCTTTGTATCACTTTGGGCTCCTGGTGCTGGGTCACGTTGCTGCTAATAAGTTTCTCTGCTGTACATTTATGAGGAGGGTCTTTTGTTAACAAGCCCACTTACCCAACAAGTGATGGTTCTAAGTTAAGAAAGGATGGCTGAGCCTCGTCTTCTGCTGCTCACGCTGTGCATCATTCTCCTCTTCTCAGAGTGAAATTGACCAGGTGATCCTTGTTGGCGGTGCCACCCGCGTGCCCAAGGTGCAGGAGTTCCTGCTCAAAGCCGTCGGCAAGTAAGTCCCAGGCACCCGGGCTCTGCAGCCCTCTTCATGCCTCTGTTGCGGCCATTTCTGGCCAGAGCAAGAAGGTGCTTAAGCTCTCTTTCCAAACTCAGGGAGGAGCTGGGCAAGAACATCAATGCGGACGAAGCGGCTGCCATGGGCGCCGTCTACCAAGCAGCTGCCCTGAGCAAAGCCTTCAGGGTGAAGCCCTTCATTGTCCGAGATGCAGCGGTTTTTCCCATCCAGGTGAGGGCGTGATAAGAGTTGGGGTGGAAGTGACACATCCTACCTTGGATTTTTATTGGAGCGCCCAGGCTTGGTTGCCCAGCATGGCAACAACGAGCCTTTGCTTTCTGCTCTGCTCCCAAAACTCTCAGGTTGAGTTCACTCGCGAAGTGGAAGAGGAGGACAAGCCCAAGAGCCTGAAGCACAACCGCCGGATCCTCTTCCAGCGCATGGCCCCTTACCCCCAGCGCAAGGTCATCACCTTCAACCGCTACACCGACGACTTTGAGTTCCACGTCAACTACGCGGACATGGGCTTCCTGAGTGAGCCTGACTTGCAGTGAGTGCCTTCGTGGCTTAGACTTTTGGGGTGCCCTTTTTCTTCCCCTGTTCTGCATACAGCCCAAGCGAAGTGGTCTGTGTAGACCATAGACAGGCATTTGGCTCATCCATCTCTCCTTTCGTTCTCGGTTTGGCCTTTCCAGGATCTTTGGCTCCTTGAACCTCACCCGGGTGAAGCTGCGCGGCGTGGGCGAGAGCTTCAAGAAGCACGTGGATTACGAGTCCAAAGGCATCAAGGCTCATTTCAACATGGACGAGAGTGGCGTGCTGAGCCTCGATCGGGTATGTATTGCCTGCAATGCTCCACCGCTCTGCTGGCACAAATAGGCCCTTCTGGATGGGTCTCACTGTTTGTTTACCTCTTATTTTCCAGGTGGAATCTGTCTTTGAGACCGTGTTGGAGGACAAGCCAGAGGAGGAATCCACGCTGACAAGTAAGCCTTCCCAATGGCATCTGCCTCTTCTGCGTGAAGGAAACCCGAATCTAGTTCCCTGCATTTGAGGGGTGGAAATTGGGAGGAAGGCCACCGCTCCCCACGTTCTGCCTCTTACCTTTTCAGCCAGGCAAATTTCCTTTTCTCCTCATTTCTCAGGCACAGTGTGCCGTAGTACATTATTGTTCTCATATATGTGCATTAAAATTGTTAAAAATTCATTGTCTCCTGTGCTATGCTAATAATATAATATAATACATTGTATATAGATATAATATTTATAATATTATAATGTAATGCAATATAATACTAATAATAATATGATATTATTATATATTCTGTGTTATGTTACTAATAATATTACAATGTAATGGTATAGTACAATATCGTAATATTTAATACTGATATTGTACTATGCTAATAATATAATCTATATATATAAATTTGTTAGGGGCATCCAACGAGGAAACAAAACTCAAAAACCACCCAACGAAACTTAACCAAAATTCCCATGCCCATAACACAACCCACAAGGTACAAACATATCTACTCAAAATGAAAAACAACACAACAACACACTCACAAAACGGCAAAACAACAAAACTCAAAAAAACCCCAACGAAACTTAACCAAAATTCCCATGCCCATAACACAACCCACAAGGTACAAACATATCTACTCAAAATGAAAAACAACACAACAACACACTCACAAAAACAGCAAAACAACAAAACTCAAAAAACCAACGAAACAACCAAAATTGCCATGCCCATAACACAACCCACAAGGTACAAACATATCTACTCAAAATGAAAAACAACACAACAACACACTCACAAAACGGCAAAACAACAAAACTCAAAAATCCCCCAACGAAACTTAACTAAAATCCCCGTGCCCATAACACAACCCACAAGGTACAAACATATCTACTCAAAATGAAAAACAACACAACAACACACTCACAAAACGGCAAAACAACAAAACTAAAAAAACCAACGAAACTTAACCAAAATTCCCATGCCCATAACACAACCCACAAGGTACAAACATATCTACTCAAAATGAAAAACAACACAACACACTCACAAAACGGCAAAACAACTGAGCATGCGCATTGGCGCCCAGCCGCAAGTTCCATCGCGCGCACACATGGCCTTCCGGCCAACGTTCCCTCTGCGGAAACCATGCTCACTCCAAGCCCCGCCGCGCCGCTTCCCGCACACACACACACCCTGCCGCACGCACACACACAACCCACACTCCATCACTCCCCCGCCGCCGCACACACACACGCAACCCCACTCCCCCCGCCGCCACACACACACACGCAACCCCACGCTCCATCCCTCCCCCCACCGCCGCACACACACGCAACCCCACTCCCCCCGCCGCCGCACGCACACACGCAACCCCACTCCCCCCGCCGCCGCACACACACACACAACCCCACGCTCCATCACTCCCCCCACCGCCGCACACACACACGCAACCCCACGCTCCATCACTCCCCGCCCCAATCTTACCTTCTTTTACTTCACGCCCCCTCCAAACCCCCCCCCGCCCCTTCCCGCCCTGTCAAAATATAGGAAAGACAGGAAGGAAGGAAAGAAGGAAGAAAGAGAAAGGGAGGTAAAGAAAAAGGGGGAAGGAAGGAAAGTTAGAGAAAGAAGAAAAGGAAAGAAAAGGAAAGATGGAAGGAAAGAAAAGAGAGACAGCAGAAGAGAAAGAAAAAGGGGGAAGGAAGGAAAGAGATAGAGAAAGAAGAGGAGAAGGAAAGATGGGAAGGAAGGAAGGAAGGAAGGAAGGAAGGAAGGAAGGAAGGAAGGAAAGAAGGAGGGAAAGAGGGAAGATTGGCCACAGCAACACGTGGCGGGTAAAGGTTGTTATTTCTATTATTATTATTATGATGCTATTGTTCCTCTGAGACCCTTTTAGGGGGAATGGGAGAGGTGTCAGGTCCCAGAGGCAATGCATTGCATTATTGTTATTGTTATGATGGTGGTGAAATAAAAGGAAATAAAAAGTGAAAGAAGGAAGCAAACAGGGAGGGAAGAAAGGCAAAGGAAGAAAGGGGGAGGGAATGAAGGAAAGAGAGAAGGATGAAACCAAGTAGTGAAAGAAGGAAAGAAAGAAAGAGGTAGAGAAGGAAGAAAGGAGAGAAAGGGGGAGGAAAAGGGGGAAGGAATAGGTAGGGACCTCTCTTTCATAATAGTCCAGATATCTACCTCAACTTTGATAAGTTTTACTATAGGCCACAGCAACGCGTGGCAGGGCACAGCTAGTGTATGTATATATGTCTTGTAAGCCGAGAAGGGCGGCATATAAATGTTGTAAATAAATAAATAGTTTAACATTGCATATGCCAAAGGATATTACTATGAGTAGGAAGGGTGATTTGTCCCCCTCCTCCAAAATGAAGACCCCACTCAAGGGATGCGCCCGGCACAGAGCCCAGGGCCAAGTTCCCTTTTGCTCCATGTGAGAGGGAGGAAGGTTCAGGTTGTAGGACGGACGTGAACCCTTCTGACCATTCCTCTCTTTCCTTCCTTCCTTCCTTCCTTTCTTTCCTTCTTTCTTTTGGACAGAATTGGGGAACACCATCTCCAGCCTCTTTGGGGGAGGCAGCCCTGTGCCGGAAGCCCCCGAAAACCTGACGGAGACGGTGCAGGTGAGGCCTGGCTGCGAAGAGGCAGCCCCTTGAATGGGGGGTTTGGCCCAACACAGGTTCCAACATGGATCAGAAAGGAGGCTTCATGTAATAGTGAAAGGAACAGAGGAGGGGAAGAACGTTGCCAGTTCAAAGAGTTTGGCCCAATCATTCTCTTGGCTGGAAGCATCGAGAGCAAGCCTGGAGCCAAGAGGGGCCTTCGATGAGGTGAATGGCTTTGGGGCCAGTCCCCTCCAAGCTTGCCTTCAACCACTATTTGTTGTTTCTAGGAAGAAGAAGAGAGCCAAGCAGAGTCCGGCAAGGAGGAGGGGCAGAAGGATGAGGCTGGGGGTGCTGCTGCCGAGGAGGAGGATGGGACGTATCCACCAACGCCACCTCCAAACCAGGAGAAAGGGCCTGGGGAGGAGGAGGAGCCTGTGGCCACAGAACGGCCGGAGGAGGGGCCGGAAAAGCCGGACTCCTGGGTGAGTTGGCCATTAGGCTCCATGCAGATGCTTTCCTTCTAGTGCTGCAGAGCAAAAGGGAAGGGTCTCACAGTGTGCTTGGGCTTAAGCGTTATATTTACTTACATTTTCTTATTGTTACTTAAGAAATGACAAAAACTCTGGGACTGAGTCTAAAACATAGACTCAGGCCCTGAAAAGAGCTGGTGTTCTTGTTAGGAGGCCCAAGAGAAGGCCGGAGAAGAGCCCGCCAAGAGCCCCGAAGGCAGCAAAGCAGCCGTGGAGGAGGAGGAGGCAGCAGCGGCGAAGCCCAAGCCTCCCAAGAAGCAGAAGCTGGTGGAGGAGATCACCGTGGAGCTGGACGTGAACGACGTGCTGGACCTGATGCCCGAAGAGCTGCAGAGCTCCATCAAGAAGTAAGTTTGGGAGGCTCTCCGGGGATTGCATTTGCTGCCATCCACGTGAAATGGCGACGATGCACGGGGGGCTTCCGCCATTGCCACTTAGAGGGGGATGCGACCCAGGCTGCTTCCTTTGTTCCCAGGTTGCAAGCGCTGACGGAGAGGGACCTCGAGAAGCAGGAGAGGGAGAAGTCGGCCAACAGCCTCGAGGCCTTTGTCTTTGAGACTCAGGTAGGAGAGCGGGCATGAGGATACAAAGCTGGGAAAGGAAGCCTCAAGAGTTGGCGTGGTTGGTGGGGACGAGGGACAGAGCATTCTCAGAGGTGGCTCCTCGACTCTGGAAGGCCCTCCCTCTTGGCCTTCAGAAAGAAAACAAAGACATGGTTGTGGGACCAAGCCTTTGGCCAGTAAAGTAATGCAGTGCAAGAAATAAATAGGGAATATGTGCAATTGACAATTGGATTTTGGATCATGTGATTTTAATGTTTATACTAGGATGTTTTAATGCTATGTCTTACTGTTTCAATCAGGGGTCCTCAAACTTTTTAAACAGAGGGCCAGGTCACAGTCCCTCAAACTGTTGGAGGGCCGGATCATAATTTGAAAAAACCCCAAACATGAATGAATTCCTATGTACACTGCATGTGTCTTATTTGTAGTGCAAAAAACACTTAAAAACAATACAATAATTGAAATGAAGAACAATTTTAACAAATATAAACTTATTCGTATTTCAATTGGAAGTATGGGCCTCCTTTTGGCTGATGAGATAGGATTGTTGTTGTTGTTGTTGTTGTTGTGTGCTTTCAAGTCATTTCAGACTTAGGTTGACCCTGAGCGAGGGCCGGGTAAATGATCTTGGAGGGCCATATCTGGCCCTTGGGCCTTAGTTTGAGGACCTCTGGTTTAAATGTTGCATATGTGTTTGTTTAATGGTCTTAATCATTATGGAGGTTGGGAACCTGGGGGGGGGGGTCGCGAGGGGGTGTCAGAGGGGTTGCCAAAGACCATCAGGAAACACAGTATTTTCTGTGTGGGAAGTGTGGTCTAATTCTATCATTGATGGGGTTCAGAATGCTCTTTGGTTATATGTGAACTATAAATCCCAGCAACTCCAACTCCCAAATGTCAAGGTCTATTTTCCCCAAACTCCACCGGTGTTCACATTTGAGCATATTGAGTATCTGTGCCAAGTTTGGCCCAGATTCATCATTGTTTGAGTCCACAGTGCTCTCTGGATGTAGGTGAACTACAATTCCAAAACCCACAGTCAATGCCCACCAAACTCTTCTGTTATTTTCTGTTGGTCATGGGATTTCTGTGTGCCAAGTTTGGTTCAATTCCATCATTGGTGGAGTTCAGAATGCTCTTTGATTGTAGGTGAACTATAAATCCCAGTAACTATAATTCCCAAGTGAGAAAATCAAATCTCCCCCACAACCCCATCAGTATTCAAATTTAGGCATATGGGGTATTTGTGCCAAATTGAGCCAGTGAATGAAAATACATCCTGCATATCAGATATTTACATTACAATTACATTATATTTTGTCATTTGTATGTTGTAAACTGCTTGAGTCGCGAGAAAAGCATTACATAAATACACTAAGTAAATAAATGGTAGGAAATTGAGTCTGAGAGGAGTGGCTTCCCTTTCCTCTTTTCCCTTACCAGGACAAGCTCTATCAGGAGGAGTACCAGTTTGTTTCCACAGAGGAAGAGAGGGAGGAGATTGCCAAGAAGCTGAGTGAAGTTTCCAGCTGGATGGAAGAGGAGGGCTACACGGCCACCACAAAGGTTGGGACACTCATACAAACCTTACATGGCAAGGGGGCGTCGGGCAAGGAATCATGAGACGGACAAGAGCAGAGCTGCAGAAGCAGCTTTCCCTTCTCAGAGAAGTCTGAAGCGGGGGGAAAGTGAAGAGAGAGCTGCTTGTGATGTGACAGCAGGCTGATCCTCTTAAATCATTTGGATTTCTTGTTCGCAGGAGCTGAAAGAGAGGCTCTCTGAGCTGAAGAAGCTTTGCCGGAGCCTCTTCTTCCGCGTGGAGGAGCGGAGGAAGTGGCCGGACCGCTTGGCTGCCCTGGAGAGCCTGCTCAACCATTCCAGCATCTTCCTCAAGTATGAACGGGAGAAAGGGCTCGTGATGGGGCAGAGGGGAAACTTAGGGTCAGGCAGAGTGAAGAGTGAAGAGAGAGGGGCCAGGAAGACAGTTCCACCTTGTCTCCTGCACTGTGCTAATTTATTTATTCTTCGTGTCGTCCGTGAAATGCGCACCTATGGGTTCTTCCTTGCGCATGCGCAGAAACTCGGAA